CTTTGAATAACGTGAAAAGATTAATCTGACAGTATCGAATTAATCCACTGTGCTACCAAGTATTAGTATGTATTTGACTAATGCTACTTATGCGTGTGTTATGGTCAACCGTACTAGAACTATGTATCTAATACTAATGGATACTGGTGGTTGATTATGGGCTCGATCTACCCACATAACCAGATACACATAACCCGATATTTTCCACTAAAGTGGAATTACTTACCTATTTATATATATGTACATGTATTATAATATCTGTCCCGATGACATTTCACAAAGAATGTTTGTAACATCTTTATTGGACTTCGGCTTTGATGATGTATGGAATCGGTCCTGGCATAAGTCAGGCCCGGACATCATCGCCAGACCTTCATGGTCTGACAAATTTATAGATTGAGTGCCGAAATATAATAAGATACCAATTTTTTCGCAGCCTTTCTGCTTAACGCAGGAAGCCTTTCTGACTCCTGCTTCTGCGATAGTCGAAAGTCCTGAACTTTTAAAAGGATCAGGTGGTATAAAAATTTCAGTAAAAATTTCAAAATTTATATTTTTAAAATAGGTATTATAATATCAAAACCCAACATTTTTTGGTTGTAAATTGGTCCCTTGGCCCAGTTGGTTAAGGCGTGGTGCTAATAACGCCAAGATCAGCAGTTCGATCCTGCTAGGGACCATTTATTTTTTTGCAATTTTTTTTACTACTTTTTAGCTCATCGACCTGCATATGTGAAAAAGTTTTTTTACTCTTCGATTTTTTTCAGATTCTTCAGTATATCTAAATCAATTCAGAAGACGTCTTTTCAAACTAAACTTCCGGCCTATCAAAATCATAACAGAAACATGTCCAGCTTATCTCAACAGTTGAAGGTGATAAGCGACAAGACCGCTTCTGTGGCCTTGGACAGAAAAACACGTTCTAAGATTCATTCCAAGTCATTAATCTTCGATCCCAAAACTGCATCAACTCAAGATTACGATTATCTTTATGACATTGGATTAGAAGGTTTAAACGAGCTTATTGATTTAGATTCAAGATTCAATCACTTTCAAAACTCACTTTTCTCTGAGACCTCCATAAATTTTGATAGAAATGTTCAAACTAAAGAAATACTTGATACCTTAAATAAAAATGTTGAAGCTTTCTTGAATGTGGTAGCTCCTTATTATAGCTTAGCTCCAACTTTGAAGGCAATCGAATGGTTAGTCAGAAGGTTTTACATAAACATTCACAATGCCGAAACTTTGTTATTATCTTCTTTAACTTACTATCAGCAACCAGTATTTGTTAAAATTTTACATGTCATACCAAAATCATCATTTCCACGTATTTTTGAATGGGTCCTTGGATATAAAGATTTAATGAAAAATCCTCCTAATAACTCTATTTTGAAAAGTTTCCATAATGATCAAGAATTTTACAAATTATATCTGTTTTACTTAATTGAACAACTCAAGAATAAAACAGTTTTCAATCAGCAATTGGTCTTTTTCTTATCAAACACTATCCAATTATTAGCCTCATATAATAAGGAATTACCTAAATTGAATGAATCTTATTTGCCTACAGTTTTGGAAGTTGTTGGTACCATGTTATTACCTTCCAAAGAAAAAATTTCTAAAAATTCTTCAGCAAATGATGTTAAATTAACTGCTTATTCTGTTATTTCGGTGTTAGGATCTATTATTCCTTTGACTGCTCAACTTATTGAATCTTTCACAGACTCAATTTTGCAAGACCCACGCTCATTCAATGGACTTGAAAAACAATCTTTAATCGTTTTGGGCCAACTTTGGAATTTTTATAATCAAGATAATAATTTAGGATCAAAAATTTCTTGTTTTGATCGTTTAAGTCCAAGCCAATTATTAGAAAAGGAATCCTTAATCAAAAGTCTTTTTGCTGAAAACTACAAGTTGAACAAATTTTTCATATACTATTTTCTTTCCCAAATTAATGATAATGAAAATGAGGAAGCTTATCACAAGATCTTTGAGATCTCTAAATTTGTCAACTTGGACGATTCTTCTATTCATTTCAATAAATTTACATCCAAGTTGCTTCAATTGGCAGAAAGCAGAAAAGACGAGACCACCAGAAATGGTTGTATTTCTATATTTGAAAGCTTGATCAAAAATAACAAAGATTCGTTCAATAATCTTTTGGAATTAGAAAAGAAATCTATTGGTGATTTGGAAATGATACTTATGTATAATTTAAACGGACAAGAAACTCATGATGCTGATATTGAATTTGCTGATGAGGAAGATGAAGTTGACCAAGTCTCAGATCAAATATTAAATTCATCCAGGGTCGACTTATCTTCTCTTAAAACAAAAACCAAAAGCTTTTTTGATTCTTCGACTAGCAAAGAATTTACAAAGTTGTCGCAAGCTTACATACAAGCTTTATATGACACTGAACAACTTTTCAAGGTCAAGGTTGCAGCAATTCGTCGTTTTGGTAATATAGTTTTTCATGGTAACAAAGAAGTATTAGTAAGTTTTATACTTCGATTATCATTGACTCCAGCTATTCCTTATGCCACTAGAGTTATTTCACTTAAGGCATTAAAACCAATTTTATCTGAAATTAAAGACATTTTCTTCTACTTACTTGTTCCTGTTTTGATTCTTGGTTTTTATGATACCGAAAAGACTATCAGATCATTATTTTTTAAAATTGCTGAATTCGTTCATAATGACACAAGAGATCGCAGCAAAAGCAAAGGTAAAATCACTTTGTTTATGGAAGATCAAATATATGGATCCACCCCAGTGGGTAAAAGATCAATTATCACTCCTCAAGATGCTCACTCTATGCTAAAACAATTATTCAAAGAAGGTAAATCCAATCTTAGCGATTCAGTACTTGATAGAGAACGTTTAATTTTTACCTTATTTGAGGTTTTGTTTAATAAGAAAGTTGGAAAAATTCTTTTGAAGACTTTCATAATGAATCAATGGTCCCTTTCATTTTGGCCCATTGCATTCAAATCTAAAATTTGGAGTATAATATCTTACGAGAACAATATTTCTGGCTTTTCCAAAAAAGGAACCAGTGACAGATTTTTCTTTTTGGAAAGTGATATTTCCAATTATGTTGATCAGAGACCTCATTTGCTTGAAGAAGCTAAGTTGGCTAAAGTGGAATTCTTTGATGATGTTGAAGGGCCTTTAGTCAATATGGTTGGAGGTAAATCCTCTAATGAAAACAACGTGAACAAAGAAATAGATTGGTTAATCAAAGCATTAGGCTGCAATTACCAAAATTTACAAATCGCAGCAAATGAAAGAATAATTAAAATATTCCCATCTTTGAAGGCCGTTGATTCCAAGGTTAAGGTATGCAATGAATTAATTGACTTATTAGTTAATGAAACTGATGACGAACTTTTCATCGATCCTTTGGAAACATTGCAATCATTTGAATTTGATCACGATTCAGTCATTGCTGTATTATCCAATGTTCAAATTGTTACTCAAGTCCCTGAACAAGGTGTGGCCAAGAGAAGAAGAAGATCATCTAATTCAACCAAACAAAACATGGCTAGAAATGATATCAGCAATATGGCTTCAATTCACTTGAGAAAATTGACCATTGCTTTAGACGTCTTGGAAAACAACTTGAGAAATAAAGTGAATGATATAGCTCAACCAGATTTATTACAAGATTTGTTCAGAATTTTGACTGATTTAGACTATTTAGGAAACGATGGTAACTTACCAGTCTTATATGCACAAGAAACTTTAGCTCTGTGTATGTTATTGAGTATTGTTACCATGAAGAAGAATTCCAAAACACAAAATTTCAAATTTGACTCTAACTCTGTTAGATCTGATTTAATAGTCAATTCTATTAGATTGTCATCATCTCCACAAGTTCAAAACAGGTTCTTATTAGTTATTGCCGAATTAGCTGCATTGGCGCCAGAAATAATTTTACATTCCGTTATGCCAATATTCACTTTTATGGGTGCTCATACTATCAGACAGGATGATGAATTTTCAAGCTCAGCTTTACAGCAAACAATTGCTAAAGTCATTCCTGCTTTGGCTAGTAGTGGATCGTCGTCTTTAAGCAATGAAATCGAGTTTTTATTAACCAGTTTTGTTACTGCTTTCCAACATATCCCAAGACATCGTCGTGTTAAACTATTCGTATCTTTGACCAGAACTTTGGGTTACGCTAATTCCTTACATATTATCATATTCTTGATTGGACAACAGTATAATATGAACAACTCCAAAGGGAAAATGACTGAATGTAACGCTTTATTAGAGTTTACAACATCGTTATTGAAAAGCTTTAAGGCAAAAGAAATTTTGGAGAGCTTTGCCAAATTTTATGAATTATGGAATGAGTTGCCAAATAATGAATTAGAATCTAATTCCGAACAATTTAATAAATTAAGTTCAAGATCAATTTTTGGTAATTCAATTGTGTCTTCCTCTTCAGAAGAATTGATAGAATTAAAAGCTCAATTATTGAGATTTATCAACCAAGTTTTAAATGTTGACCAGGAATTGAATCAAGTAAGTTCCTCAATAAAATTAAAGGTTTCATTAACTTTAATAGACACTCAATCCTCTAAAGATGACAAGAATGATATTTTATCAAATTTCAGCCAAATAACTTCATTGATTTTATCCAGTTTAGAATCATTCGCTAATTTAGAAAAAAGTGAATTTGATTCTATTCAAACCAATTTATATGATTTACTATCTAGTTATTTGAACTTACTTCCATTAAACTATTTTGTTGATTCGATTATTATTTCATTACAAGAAGTCAATTCCCCAATATCAATTAGAGTTGCAAGAAATTTTGCAATTTTAGCAGGTACCAAATTTGAATCTGAATTGAACTCCAATAGTATTGATGAAAACATTCAGCAAGTAGTTTCAACCAAGTTGTTGCCAGTTTTAATAAATGGAGTTGAAACAGTTGATCACGTCGAGCTTGTTCAATCATATTTAGACACTTTTGCTATCATAGTCAATAAATTTGGTGTTATAACTACTCAAATGACCAATTCTGATAATACTAAAGTATTAATAAATTCATTGAAAATCATTGTTACCGAAAAAGGATTATTGAATGAACAACCCGAGGTCATTATTTCTTCTATTAATGCAATTTCTAGTATCATCAATGTATTAGGTATTAAAACTATTGGATTATTTCCAAAAGTTTTACCACCAGCATTAAAAATTTGGGAACGAACTATTAAGACTAATTCATCGGAAGCTGAATCAGACTCTGATTCTGAAACGGAAGAAGAGAATGAAAGTAATAAACTTATTCAAGCTTCAATCTTAGCCTTAATTTCATGTTTAGTTAAGAAGATGCCAGGATTCATCATTGGTAGTTTAGAGAAAATATTATCAACTGTATTATACAGTGATTTAATTGAAAATAGTATTAGATCAAGTATATTAGATCTTATTGTTGAACACGTTGAAAAATCCCAATTGATGAAATCATTATGTAATTTAAGTTTAACTGGAGAATTTTATCAACAAGCCAATGCAAGTGATTTAGGATTATATTTGAATGTTTTACAAAATACTATTAATAAGATTGATAAGAAATCAGCCTCTGGTCAATCTACGTTGTTTATGAATTGGTTAATCAAATCATTTGAATTCAGAAATGATATTGGAGAAGAAAAATATAATGTCAATACAATTGCCAGATTAGAAAGTTCATTTCATGAATGTGGTATCACCTATGTCATGAAGTTAAATGATAAAACCTTCCGTCCTCTTTTCGCTAATTTAGTAAGATGGGCAATTAATGGAGAAGGATCATTAAGTAACAAGAATACTGAAGTTACTAGATTATTAGCATTTTTCAAATTTTTCAACAAATTGCAAGAGAATTTGAAAAGTATTATTACATCGTATTTTTCATATTTACTCGATGGAACTAGTAATATATTGAATAGATTCTGCAATAGAGATATTGAAGAAATTAATTTAAGAAGATTGATTTTAAATTCGTTGACCTCATCGTTTAAATATGATCAAGAAGATTATTGGTCACAACAACTGAGATTTGAAAGTGTTATGGAACCATTAATTGGACAATTACAAAATATTGAAGAAAATATCGGGAAATATTTAGTTAAAGCCATTACTTCATTTATTATTAATGTTTCATCGGATGAATATAATGAAAAACTAGTTTATGGATTAATTAAATATATTACTAACGAATCAGAAGAAAATAATTCAAATACTAAAATATGGACAATTAGAACATTGAAATCAATTTTCCAAAAAATGGGAGAACAATGGTTATCATATTTACCTACATTTATTCCATATATTGCCGAATTATTAGAAGATGATGATGAATCGGTTGAAATGGAAGTAAGAAGTGGATTAGTTAGAGTTATTGAAAATGTATTGGGAGAACCATTAGATAGGTATTTAGATTAAAACTACATACATAACTAATTCTTTTTAGATCTAACCCCGTAAGCTTTTGTAGAATAATCACCATTAATAACAATGATATCTTCTGGTCTATAATCATTAGTTTTTTCAAAGAAAGATTTCAAGATATTTTCAACCCCTTTAGCATATCTAGTTTGAGCATCTAAAGAAGTACCAGAAACATGAGGAGTCATTGCATTACCTCCTTTACTAAAAGGGTTTTGGAAAGATCTCCAAGGAGCATCATCAGGAGCAGGTTGGACCGGCCAAACATCACCACCATAACCTTTTAATTTACCAGAATTGACTGCATCAGCAACATCTTTATCAACACAAATAGCCCCACGAGCAGTGTTTACTAACCAAGCACCATCTTTCATATGGCTAATTAACTCTTTATTGAAAAGACCACGAGAAGATTCATGTAATGGACAATTAATGGTAACCACATCAGCTTTAGAAAGCATTGTTTTCAAATCTTCCACTCTTTCAATGATATCATCATTATCGTTATAAATTTTAGAAACTTGATTAATTTTATCAACTGCTTGTTTAGGCAAGTCTTGATAATCATAATATAATAATTTTTTAGGGTTAAATGGAACCAAACGTTCCAAGACCCTATAACCAATACGACCACAACCAACGGTAGCAACAACTTTATCTTCTAAATCATAAGTATCTTTTGCAACTCCAGCAATATCCCAACCACCTTTAACTGCTTGTTCATGAGCAGGAACAAAATTACGAACCAAAACCAACATGGTCATAACAACATGTTCAGCAACAGAAACAACGTTTGAACCAGTGACTTCAACCACGGTGATTTTACGTTCATTAGCAGCGTTTAAATCAACATGATCACTACCAACCCCAGCAGTAATGCAAATCTTCAAATTCTTAGCTTTAGCAATACGTTCTCTAGTAATATAAGCTGGGAAGAACGGAGTAGTAATAACAATTTCTGCTTCTTCCAACTCTTTATCAACAGTGGAATTTGGTTCGGGATCTTTATCATCAGTAGTAACCAATTCATAACCGTAAGATTCAATAAACTTACGAAGACCCAATTCATTTTCCAAGCAACCAACTAATCTTGATTCTTGTTTAGCATGTTCGTGTCCTTTGTATAAGACGAGTAAGCACTTTGGTTTAGCCATTTTCAATATAAATTATCTGGTAATAGAATTAATAGAATTAATAGAATTAATAGAATTAATAGAACTAATAGAATTAATAGAATTAATAGAATTAATAGAATTAATATAAAATATACAACTACAACTACGAAATCAGGTTATATTTATACCAATGGACCCAGGATTCAACTCACCAATACAGTAATATGATCCCTAGACTCCGAGATATTAAACTAAATAACTCAATTGAAGAATTGCGGTGCAATTGTCAAATGATCAAACGACTTCTCCATAAATCGGAGTTTCCTTCACTATTTCCCTTTTTGTTTGTGCAACCGCAACCACTCCCCACCCTCTTGCTCCAACCTGCAATCGGACCGCGCCAACCTGCAAACCAACCAACCGCCGCCAATTTTCCGAGACATTTACTGAAATTCTCGCAGTGTGGGGTTTGTGGTGTATGGGTGCAGGGATGGAGTAATTGTACAGTTATTGTATAGTTTGTATAGTTTGTATAGTTTGTATAGTTTGTATAGTTTGTATAGTTTAGTAAGGTTTAGTAAGGTTAAGTATAGTAATTGTATTGTGATTGTCTAGTAATTCTATAGATGTTGTATAGCTATTGTGGTAGTAGTTGACAGGTGGAGATGGAGGTGGGTGGTTTATCCGGAAAGCTACGGATTTGCAACCTATCAGGCCATGATCTACAAGATAAGACTAGGGCTAATTGACTGGAGGAATTTGTTTGCGACGGCTTGCCAGCCCTCACGGCAGTCTTTGAGAATTGAAAGCGTAGTATAATTCAAATGAATCATTAGTTTTACAAACACCAGAATCATTGGCTCTTCCACTTCCTTGTCCATATGTTTACAAATTGTTTATTGTTTCGGTTAATACTTCACCATATGTTCTTAATTCTAACCAATCTCTAAGCAACATTATTTGAAAGTCAATACTCACTTCTTTTAACTAATTGTCAGAACAATTCAGTATATATACTTTTTTGATAATTTCAACCTGCATCTGAATCTTTGCGTTCTGTTTTATGTGTTTGACTAGGATTTTAAAGAATTATATTCTGAATGCTCTTCGAATACCTTCATTTTGACCATCTTCTATACCTAGCCACTTAATTTATCAGTAGATTGAAAGAACTGAAATTACACAGTTATTGATAACTACAATGAGGTCAAGGTTTCAATACCCAAGGCTAGATAATATTAATTTAAATTAAGGAAGTACATTAACCTTATACCTAAAATGGCTGCGAAATACCCTGTTTTAATAAATCCTAGTTATTGTAGTATTACGTTATAATGATAACTATTCAAATACTAGTTCCTTCTTCAAGATTTGAAAATTGATAAAATCACTTTTCAATGTTTTACACCAGTAATAGATAGTTAAATTACAATAATACGTTGTGATTTGACATTTAGTGTAGTAAATATCGGCAGTAGATTGCCTACCGGTTTCAAGATAATCTTTGATCCACTTTCTGGCTGTGTTGTATTTAGTCGAATGTTTGCGGGCTAAGCTGGCCACTGAACTAGTTGGGTTCTTAGAATAATCATCGAAAAACAGAGTTATCTCTTCGGTAGTATAGACTTTTCTGGTACTCTTTTTCTTCTTTTCTTCAGTTGACTCAGCTGGTTCAGTTGGTTTTTCAATCAGTGTTTCATAATTTTTCTTCTTTTCTTTAGTCTCAGTTGGTTCTTCAGTTGGTTTTTCAGTTGGTGTTTCATCTTCCTTTCCCTTTTCCCCATCTCTCTGCTTAGAAGACTCCTTAGTGGCACTCATTTCTACTGTTCAAAAATTACGGCAGCAAGATTAATTCAAGTATGTATACTCCTCTGAATTCTGTTGCAATTTGCAACATAGAATCCTTAAAGTTAATACCAAGCTCCTTCATGAATTCTGGTATAGGGGTTAAACAATTGGCTGACATATAAGTATACAAGATCGTCACTAAAATACCTTATCAGAAGCATATCTTACAAGAAACCTACTTTATAAGAATCATACTTTATAAGAAACATACTTTATAAGAAAGATAACTTATAAGAAACATGATTTGATTATATATCTTGTTATTTGGTTATACATATTGGACATATGGTATATGTATTGGACATATGGTATATGTATTGGATATATGGTATATGTATTGGATATATGGTATATATATTGGATATATGGTATATGTATTGGATATATGGTATATATATTGGATATATGGTATATATAATTAAAGGCTCAATTAGATATAACAGTGCAAGAACTGATTATTTGATTGGTGCTTTATATGGCTGCAAACTAATATAGCTTAATGGTGGTAAAGCCGAGATCACGTGATCACGTCCAAAAATACCCGAGACTAGAATATTCCACGACTGAGAAATGAAAAGTTTTAAATCCAATTATATAAGCAGTTGGATATCACTATTTTACACCATTTACCAGATCAACAACCATGTCTAATTTCTTGAAAAGTGTTAACGTTCTCAAACCATTGTTTGACAGAGTTCTTATCCAAAGATTCAAGCCAGCTACCCAAACTGCTTCTGGGATTTATATTCCTGAAAAAAATCAAGAAAAATTAAATCAAGGTACTGTTATTGCTGCTGGTCCAGGTATTACTAATACTACCACTGGTCAAGTTATTCCAACTTCCGTTAAAGCTGGTGATAAAGTTTTATTACCATCTTTTGGTGGTAATCCAGTTAAAGTTGATGGTGAAGAATACTTCTTGTACACTGATAAAGAAATCTTAGCTAAAATTGAAGATAATTAATTCTTGTAAATATATATTATTCGATTGTATTATTGTATTAATGTAGTTTATTATTGTATTGGTGGAGGGTGTTAGGATTAGTACTGGTAGAGTAGTAATCTTGAGTTGGTGGGGTGGACAAAGACCCATGCACCAGTCATCCCATAAATAAAATATCTGAATCATTCACAAATTTAATTGATATCAACCCCTAACCAAATATGACTGAACAGAATCGTTTTGCTCAATTTAAATTAGTACTTTTAGGAGAAAGTGCCGTTGGTAAATCTTCAATTGTTCATCGATTTGTTAAAAATACATTTGATGATTTAAGAGAATCAACAATTGGGGCAGCCTTTTTAACTCAATCCATTAATTTACCAGATTTAAAAACCACAATAAAATTTGAAATATGGGATACTGCAGGTCAAGAACGTTATAAAAGTTTAGCTCCAATGTATTATAGAAATGCAAATGCCGCGTTATGTGTTTATGATATCACTAGTCTTTCTTCGTTTAATAAAGCTCAAGATTGGATCAAAGAATTGAAAAAACAAGCCCCAGAAGGAATCGTAATTGCTTTGGTTGGTAATAAAACTGATTTAACTGAAAATCGTCAAGTTGATAATGATGAAGTTTTACAATATATTAATGATTTAAATAATGATTCAAATTCAAAAATTATTCATTCCGAATGTTCTGCTAAACTGGGTGAAGGGGTCTTGGATATTTTTGATCAAATTGCAAGATCTTTACCAATTGATGATATAAATAAAAAAGTTAATGGTAATAAACGAATTAGCGGAGTTGATTTAGGTAGAAATATTAAGCAAAATCAAAATTTACAACAAAATAACTCTTGTTGTTAATATACACAATACATATACATAAATAAATCCATACATTATACATTATCGTAGTCATTAACTATATGCATTCGTTATTTACTTCTTCTTACCAAATAATGGTTCTCCAATGTTCTTACCTCTTAATTTAACTCCTAAAGCTCTTTCCAATTTCCCCAAAACTTGTTGATTTGGAATGGCTCTACCGGCTTCATAGTCATTAATAACATTGGGTTTTTCATTAATCTTGGTGGCTAAATCTTTTTGAGTAAGCTTCTTTTCTTGTCTAAATTGACTAATCACCTTACCAACGTTACCGTCCAATTTTTTGGTTGGAATAACATCATCAGTATTGTCCAATTTAGTCAATCTTTGTCCTTCTGGATTACTCTTGGTATTAGTTGATCCATATTTTTTTTCAGTACCAACAACCCCTCCAGTTCTTCTAGCTTCGTTAATTTGTGCTTGGGTTCTAGCAACGTTTTGTCTTGGTCCACCACCACCAACTCTGGCGTTTCTACCAATAATAGTAACTGAATTCCAATCGTCTGACATGTTTTATTATAATACAACGTTTTTGAAAAGAAGTAGTAGTTGATTCATTTCCTGACTCACTTTTCTTCCTTATTTGCGGTGAACATTGAGTGGAATCTTCTAGAACAAGATCCATCCGTACCCCAGAAATAGACCCGTACCCAATCAAAACCTCCGTACCTCGCACAATATACCATCTACTTCATCAACTCCACCACTAGGAACTCGTCTCCCACAGCAAACCCATTCATGTTCTGAAGAGCATGCCAGCAGTCCGTGGTCTCCTCGTACTCAATCACGGCATGGTGCCTGTTCAACTCAATGCTGGCAACGAGTCCGAACGGATTGAACAAACTGGTAAGCGTTTCCTGGCTGGTGCCAGAGGGGATATTGGCTGGACTGTTAGTACTAGTTCACTTCAAATCAATAAAATCATACTTACCAACTGATATTTTGGTGTAATCAAAGTTAGCTGGGGCGTTCATTTGATGCTGGGAAGAAAATAGTGGTACGCAATGAGAAAAAAATGAAAATTTGTTGGACAATCACCTACTTCTTTTAAAGATTGTACCAAAATGGTTTCAATTGAAGTTATTTCTCGTTCAAAGTCTTTGAAAGGATTGTCTGCCAGCGATGAATTCTCGTTGGATGCTCCGGTATCTCTGATTGTTGAAAAACTCAGTTCTGTTAACAAGATCTCGGTTAACAGAATTAGACTCACTTACAAAGATTCTAATTCAAAGCAAGTTCCATTAAACACGGATAAATCATTATTTGATAATGGATTTTCATTAAAGGAAAACATTGCTCTTTATGCTAAAGATTTAGGACCTCAATTAGGTTGGAGAACCGTTTATATCATTGAATATTTGGGTCCGTTATTGATCCACCCATTATTCTATTATATTATTGAAAATTATAATCAAGAAAACTATACCCAAACCCAGTATTTGGCTTTTGTAATGGCAACTTTACATTTCTTAAAACGTGAATACGAAACCATTTTTATTCATAAATTTTCAAATGCAACTATGCCATTTTTCAATATATTCAAAAATTCGGGCCATTATTGGATTTTATCAGGTTTTTTATTAGCCTTTTTCATTTTCAAAAATTCAATTAATGACTCTTTTATTTCAAAAATCTTATTTCAAACTAATGATTTTCCATCTTCCATTAACTATACCTTATTTGGTTTATGGGCTTGGGCTGAATTATCAAACTTGAAGTGCCATTTGACCTTGGCTTCTTTGAGATCAAATCCAAGTGATAAGAAATACGTTATTCCTTACGGTTATGGTTTCAATTGGTGTTCTGCTCCAAACTACTTTTTTGAATCGCTTTCTTGGGTGTTTTTCGCCATTTTAGTTGGTAATTGGTCAGCTTGGCTTTTCCTTGCTGTTGGTACTATTCAAATGTATATTTGGGCTATTCAAAGACACAAGAGATATTTAAAACTCTTTGGTGATGATTACAAAAAATTGAAAAGATCAATCATGGTTCCTTTCTTAATTTAATTTATTCTAGTATATAAATTACTTATTCAACTTTAAACAAATACTATTAACACAATGTCTCTCATCAGTTGGATTCTTATATCCTTCTCCTCTAAATATATGTCCTAAATGTCCATCACAATTAGAACATCTCATTTCTTCTCTAACCATCCCAAAACTAGTATCTCGATTAATTATAATACTTCCTGGAATTGCTTCGTAAAAAGCTGGCCATCCACATGCACTATTAAACTTGGTACTGGCTTTATATAAATCTTGATTACATCCAACACATTGATATACTCCAACGTCTGAGGCTGGCGTATCATTATATTCTCCAGAATATGGTGCCTCAGTACCCAGTTGTCTCAATACTCTATATTGTTGAGGCGAAAGTATTGCTCTCCATTCTTCGTCACTTTTAGACATCTTGTTTCTTATGGATTGGACTAATAATGATCTAAATGGTCTAAATGGTCTAACCCCAATTACTCGACGTATCATTGAAAAGAAATATAAATTGATGATTAATAGCAATTTGCCAGTCTTCTCATATAAAAATATTCTGTAGTGCACTTGCAATTTTTAGCAGCTATCAACATCACCATCTACAAGTATACAATTAATGACAATATCTATTGCAAATATATAATGTATGCGTAATAAAATCAATTTTTTCAACCATCAATATGGGAAACTAGTAATACACTTTTAATAGAACGCTTCTAATAGAAAATAATAATAATAAAAAGGAAAAAAATGCAAAAATCATAAAGTCTTAACGCATGAAATAGTTATATTTACCCTTTTGTTCTCTAGTTTTATCTTTAGTCTCAGATTTTAAATCCCATTCAATTTCAATATCAACTTCTCTTGGATTATTTGAATTTGGTCTAGAAGCAATTGAACCTTTAATGACATCACCCTTTTTAACATCTAAAACTTGATCCATATAGAAAACAGTTTGTTTCCAATGAGTATAATGGGCCATTGGACCAGTGGCTAAAGTAACTTTTTCATCACCAGGGAAATCACAATCGAACCAAACAATATAAGCATGACATAAATCATTGTCAATGGCAGTTAATTGAAATTCCCTATGGAAGGTTAATTCTTCTTTAGTGACAGTATTAATATCAAATTCAAAAAATTTATGAGGAGTAGTGATTAAAGATTGATTATCAACAGTATCAACTAATGGTTCAACCATGGCAACTTTAATGAAAGGACTATAATCAAACCCGTAAACATCTTCCCAATAATGGATTTTTTCATCTTTATATTGACCATCTTCAATACCCGCAATATACATTGAACATTTATCTGGTAAAATTAAACCTCCTTTAACAAGGTACTTATCTCTTGCATACAAGACAGTATCCAACATTGATTCATATAAAAGAAAATAACCCATCCATTCACTGACAATGATATCGACAGAATCAACTGGTAATTTAATATCTTCTAATTTCCCTTTGAATAAAGTAATTTTATCTTCAAATCCATTTAATGAAACAATTTCTTTGGCTTTTTCAATAATATTGGACATATCAACAGCATAAACATGTTTAGCACCGGCTTTGGCAGCAAACATAGAAAGAATACCAGTACCACATCCAACATCTAAAACAATTTTATCCTTGAATAAATGCTTGTTCTTGAACATGGCTGATCTATAAGATAATGTACGAGAAGTGTCTTTCAACATCTCTTCATGAATACCAAAATGATCATAGGAAGAAAAATAGTGTTGTTCACTGAAAGCTAAAGAAGCTTTATCGGTGGCAGATTGATTGGAAGACATTACAAACAAGTTATGGGTGTGATTGAAGTAAGAGTATTTGATCGAGATTCTCTTCTAGTTATATGTGAAAAAAAAAGCAAAAAAAAAGAAAATATCAGACTCGCCTGGGATGAGCTTTGATTTTTCCCAGTTTACAAAAAAAAAGATCCCTACACCCATATATAAGAGAGATTGCAAATATCTATTCAGAGTTATGTACTATTTAGTTCAAGCTAAAGACGACTTTTTCACCACTGACTTTGTTTTGTCTCAATAATTCCAAAGCTTCACTGGCAGATTCCAAACCTGGGTTGAGAACTCTAAGATTAGAATGCTTCAATTTGGAGATATATGAAGGTAAGATCTTGACGAATAAATCATTATAGTTTTCAACCAATTGGGTGGAAGACTTGAAAATAGTACCCATAAGATCGATATCTTGACCCCAAATAAGGTAAGCCAAAGTGGTACTATAACTGACTTTTCTATTTTCATCAGTTTTAATTTGCAGAGGTTGAAGACCTAATAAGTTATCAATTGCAACATGAGAAGAATTAGCAGTTGAATCATAAACATGTTGGAAAGAGTATTCGGAAGAAATGGTATCCAAAGCATAAGCAATTGAGTCGCCAGCGAAATCACGGATTTGTCTAGAAACGTCAGTGTCATGGTAATCAAAAACAGCATCGGCACCTAAAGATTTTAAAAAATCATGATTTTTAGGAGAAGCAGTAGTAATAACCTTTAAGCCAAAGACTAATTTAGCAACTTGGATAGCTAAAACCCCAGTGGCAGTAGAACCAGACCAAATCAAAATTGATTTGGTTGAATTTGATTCATCACCAAACTTGATTCCAAGATTAACAAATGACAAAGCCACAGTACATAAACCGAGGGTAACCGAACTGGCACCTTCATAAGTATCGATTAAACTAGTTGGATACGAACCTGGCTTGAGACCTTCATTGGAAAATTTAGAGCCATTCCCGTATTTAATGGTAGAATTTTGTTCAGCAATTACGTACTCAGTGAAAGCACCTTTTGCAGAAGAAACATTTCCTCTAATAAAAGAAGAAACAACGTCTCCTTTGGTAAAGCCTTCGACTTTACTACCAACTTCTTCAACAACCCCACTGACATCAGAACCAACAATGTAGTCGGCTTCAGCAAAAGTAAGATGTTTCCAATCAGTTGGGTTAACGGCAAATGATTTGGCCTTGATCAAAATTTGGTCATCATTGATCTTTGGGTATGGAACACTACCGACCTTGACCAATTCACCTTCAGATTGAAATCCAGTGGAAAGAACTGCTTTGACAGAAGACATTGTATTTGAAAATTAATAAAAAGTAATATTTGTAAGAAAAAGTAGAAAAGAAAAAGTAAGAGCAATAACTAAAATGGTGAAATTTGAATTACTATTTATTTGTCATCAAATCTTAACCCCAGACTTGGATTGTGTCTTTGCGCTTCTTTTACCTTCTTTTTCATTTTCTTCAGTTCTCCTACGTCACAATCCTGCCACTTGTTTCTTGTGATTGGCCAATGTAGTATTATTGGCTTGAACTGGTATTGTTTGTTAGCTGACAAACATTAGGGTTGGATTGCTGTACCAATGGGGTGTCAAAACAAGGTACCGGAAAAACCGACTTTTTACCGTTATTCTGGTACATAAATCCGAACATCTCAACATTTATTCTCTATTTAAATCTAAAAACAAGTTTTTCACCACTAACTTTGTTTTCTCTCAACAAGTCTAAGGCTTCATTGACGCTCTCCAAGCCAGGACCTAGGACTTTTAGGTCTGCGTGCTTTAAATGGGGGAGAAACCCTGGTAATATGTTATTCCAGAATTCCTTGAAGTCTTTGACCATTTCAGGCGAAGCAGTATAGCCGATATGGGGCACATTTCCCTGTTCTATTCCATTCATTAGCAAGTAGACGGAAGAGGAGATGATTCTCACGGTACGGGAATTGTCAAGCTGGAGATCGGAATCCTTTAAGAATAGAATGTTGGTGATCACCGGTTCAAGACTCTTTGCAGTAGAGTCGTAGACCGATTGCCAAGTTTGCTTGGTGCAGACGGTGTCAAACGCAAAAGGGATATCTATCTGACTTAAATTGTTGATTATGTTTTTGTCATGATAATCAAATGCAAGATCAGCACCTAAACTTTTAAGGAAAGCGTGATGCTTGGAAGATGCAGTAGTGATCACTTTCATTCCATATACTCTTTTGGCGATTTGAATGGCAATTATACCAGTGGCCGTTGCTCCACCCCAAATCAAAATAGACTTTCCTTGATCTTTATCAGGTCTGATTTGGAGTACATGATGTAATGCGGTGATTGCAGTACCTAATCCAAGGGTAACCGAGGCAGCAGACTCAAACGAATTGATGTTATTGGACGGAGTTTTGCCAGCCGGCAAAGGCTCTTGGTCGAATGATTCTTTGTTGTACTTGATACTGGTTTCCGGATACGTCACCACGTATTCACTGAATGCTCCTCTGTCTTTGACACTGCTACCTCTTAACATGGACGAAATAAAATCCCCCTTTTCGAATCCACTGACTTCGGAACCAACTTCTTCTACTACTCCAGACACATCGCTTCCGGTAATGTAGTTTTCCCCACCACCGAGCCCTCGAACATGTATTTTCCAATCGACTGGATTAGCTGCAAACGCAACTGATTTGACTAATATTTGACCAGCACTGATTTGTGGACGGGCAATATCAACCACTTTAGTCAAATTACCCAACTCTTCAGACCCGGTAAACACTGCTGCTTTCATTTGATTATGTATGACAAGTGACAGGATTGACTAATCATGTTGAGAAGATCTCTTAAATAGACCTAATCTTCCGGAGTTTCGGTGTTTGAATTTCGGTGTTCGGTGATATTCTGTCTAAAGCGCATAAGGTCTTTGAATCCTATTTAATTAACGTAATATGCATTAAATTAAGGTAATTAAGTATTAAGTGAAAGAGATTTAAAAAAATTTAAATTGAATTGATATTTGCAAGCAGTGATAGAAGGTGAAAAAAAAAAATATCATTAATCATTTCTATTTTGTCTAACTTTATCTTTGATCAAATGGCAAACACCTGATGCGATTATACTGGCACCAGTTATAACCACCAACATCATATTTGAGTATTTATACAATCTAGCCTTGTCAGCTGGCCATCCACTGTATAAGGCATAGGTAGCAGTAACTGAACCCAAGTTACCCAAACCACTGACTAAAGCAGCACTTACTGCAGTACCAACATCTCCATATCTTGGTTGGAAGATTTCAGCTGACCACGACATACAAATTGGAACAGTTGGACCCAAACCAAAACCAGCAATAAGTAAACCAGCATATTTATTCCAAGGACCATGAGCAAAAGTAGTGACAAACATCCCACAAATAATAATTAAACAAGCAAATGAGAAAAAAGCTGCTCTAAATTTCTTAAATTTATCGGCAAAAGGAGTTATGATTAAAATACCTCCTAAATCAAATAACCAAATTGGAGCATAAAGTAAAGAGACTTGAATTGAGGTTAAATTTGGATTATTGGTTTTAATAATGGTAGATCCAAAAACAGCTAAACCGAATCCGGTACCAACAACACCAAAATACATAAGAATCAAAGGCCATATTCTCAAATCAGTGATAATTTCAACAACATCTTTCCAAGTCCATTTAATAAGATGGTAACGTTCTTCAATGTCTTCACGATGTAATTCTTGTTCATCTGCAGATAATGGATGAGTTGGAGTGAAAATTAAACTATATAATTTTAAAAATTTATTGGAAGATTTAGAATAATCTCGAGTAGTCTTAAAAGGTCTATCAGGAAGCCACCACAACAAACTAATACCACAAGCAATAGTGATGACCCCATAAACTAAATACATCCATTGCCAACCAGTATAACCTCTGACCCCATCCATTTTTTGGAAACCAGCACTGACTAAACCGGCAACTGCAGCAGATATTTGAGCAGCAGTAAAATAATACCCAATTCTTCTGGTCAGTCTTTCATTCGGATACCATAACGAAATATAATAACTCATACCTGGCCAAGTTCCTGCACCAACCATACCCGAAATAAATCTAATAGCAATAAGACCTTTATTGTTATCCAAAACATGATAACATGTGTAAACTATTCCAACAGTGATAACAATTCTTGCTAACCATGACTGTGGACTAACTTTAGTCATGATTAAATTCATAGGAACATCAAAAATAATATAACCAACATAATATAATGCAGAAGCAGTAGAGGTGTCTTTTGAAGTTAACTTCAATGCCTGAGCCAAAGAATGACCAGCTTCACTATTCATAGTCAAGGTCAAACCATAACAGTTAGAACCAAATGAGGTTAAAAAGTACATACACCATAAAGCAGGGATGATTCTGAAATCAAGTTTCCTGTAAATTTTATTCAACTTCTTACCATCATTTGAAATTTCTAAGTCTGATTCATTACTAAAGTCAGGATCAACATTGGTATAAGTATCGTGTTGTGATTCTTGTAACTTGGAGTTACCGGACCTTGCATCCTCGTTAGACATAACAGTAGCCATCTATATTCTTAACAATAAATTTTACGAAGATATAAGCGAAGGAAAGATTTAAAGCCTATTATATAATTAGAGGATGCAACTAATTTTTCTCCTTGACTCAGAGTCACCGGAGGTAGTGCGTGCGGCAGAACAAACGATTTACAGTTTAGCGCAATTGTTTACAGTTAACAGTTAAGTCAATTTGAGTCATCTTCAATAGAGGGAAAATGTACGGAGGTTTATATGATTACCACTTCAATGCAGAGTTTGTCAATTCAGCAAATTCAACCGATTGATCCACACAGAAACTATGGGTTATTGCATGGCCGGTTTCATTATCGATGCTGCCAAGCTGGAAATCGACGTTCCTATTATTTCTGTCATGGTAGTTGGTTAATATGTAATCTCTTGTATTATCATGAACCCAATGGTCGGTTAAGGCAAAGAAACACCATATTTTGACGGTTTGGCTTAAATTTTTGAAAAACCAGTCATTGACGTCTTCATGCTTATGAATACATTCTATCTCTTCCTTTGCGAGAGTGAATGCTTGTCTTATGATTTGATTTGACAGAAATAATTTAAATGTTGCTGATTTTGAATTTTCCCAACTTTCAATTGCGGCTTTGGTATCAAGAACTGGTTTGGAAATTATGATATGACCAATAATCATACGAGCTAGGACAGTGGGCAAAAAAAATCTGAATACACTGATAAGGAAAAGTAAGAGTTGAATTGGCAAAATTGAAAAAAGTTTGGTAAATTTTTGACCGGATGATGATTTACCGATATCAACAATTGTTGGGCAAATCAATCCAATGAATTTAATTGTGATTTTACCATTCAAAGACTCGTCATCAATTAGACGTTTTGAAATTCTTTGAACCATGTAGGAACCAACAGAATGAGCCAAGAAGAATAACTCAATGTTTCTGCCATCGTAACGGCCTTCATTGACGTGATCTTTTACAATTTCATACTTGTGTTTAATTTGGTATTCCAAGTCATAAAATTTGAATGGATCCAGATCCTTTTCAAAATCATCTGTAGTTTGAAATCCAGCTTGGGATATTGCTAATATTTCCAAGTTTGGATTTTGATTTTGAATCAAATCAAGATAGGTGGTATAGTAATCGAGAAGCCCCGGATTTCCTGGAATGAAAATTAATAATTGATCGCTTTTTGTATCATTAGTCTTTGGTAACTTCTTGTACACACTAGTACTTGGGTATCTTTTATCGGTTTCCATGATTATTCAGAAGGACTTTACAATGATAAAGCAGTGAGAAGATGATATTTTATTTTGTGCAGCCAAAGATCCGTAACTACACCTAAACTACAGCTTAAAGCTAATTTTTATTAACTAAATAGCTTTAAAGCTTATAAGCTAATTGCTATTGGGGAACTGAAAGGGGGATTTGGAAATGTTGTTTTTTAACTTTGAATTCCTTACTCAGTTCATCAGAATCATGAATATCGTGTTCATAATAATGTAAAACCCCTGATTTATGTAAGGCAATTACTGTTTGAGTTCTTGTACCATAATACGAACCAACAAAAGAACTTTTCAAAGGCTTGGAAACACCAGTTTTCAAAGGAGGTATGAAGATGGATTTTCGTAATTCCAAAAATTTATCTTCAAGAGTTTGTGCTTTGTCAGCCGCTTCAGCATCAAAAGTATTATAACTTAAGATATCATCAAAACAATGTTGAATTAATTCATCATGAGTATAATTTTCAACAATTGATTTGGAAACTAATTCTTCTAATCTAGATTTACCGATATCTACTTTTTGCCAAGGTTTATAAAAAAGTGAATTAGATAATCCAAAAGTAGTTTGATAAGCAACGTCTTCATGAGATTTTAATTCTTCATCGGTGGGACATGCTCCTGCCAACATACTATCATGAACCCTACCTCTATCACCACGATTACTCAATATATTTAAATGATTAATTTTTCCAGTATTATGATTTATATCTAATTTACCATATAATAATGAAAACCCTCCAATTTTACGAAGACTTACTTTAGTATCACGAATACTCTTCTTTGCTAGCTCATTTTCTAAATTCTGATACCAATCTTCATCGGATGAAATAGATGAAAGATAATCCAATGGGAGTATTCCTCTTGATATCTCACCAAGTTCAGCTATTGACTTGTTAGTATTATATTTTGAGTAAACCAAAGGGGAAAGTACATACGAGTATTATCCTCTTCTCTGTAATTGACTAGAACTGCAATTTTGCCACTAGTAGTAACACCGATCCAAGTTCCGTGTTCAGTTCTTGCTAGATCTAAAGGAGCCAAAATTTGAGTGCCATTTTCTAGAGTTCTGAAATGGGCTCCTTTAGTTGGTCTGGCGTAATACTCATCTCTATTTGATAGTAAGAGAAACGGATAGTCAGGGTGCTCGGTCGTCGATATAAGAATACACATTTTCTGTTTTATTAAAAGATAGATTGTGATAATTCTTCTATACATGTAAATATATATATATACATGATTTTTTGTTTTGAGATTGTGTGGGGTATAAAATAATCTGCTAACAAAACTACAATTACTTTATTAATATATGTTAGACGACCACATTGACATTATGTTCCAATATACATTCTTCGTTATTGTTGGGATCCACTTGATTATTCAATGGGGGGTTATCCCCGGCTTTTGAATTCGAATCATCCCAGATATAGTTTTTATCAGGAATTAATTTTTCAATCGCTTGTTCGTCACTATCATAATTAACAAATTCAAAAGATTCTGGAATATTTGATAACGTATCATTATTTAGTTCCGTGGGCATTATATTTAATTGTGGTTCAAGAATTTCGTTAACAATATAAGGGTCATTTTCATAAGAAAGGGCATCATAAATTTGTAAAGATTTATCATAAATAGGAACATTTTGATTAACACCATGGAATGATGTAACAGAATGATTTATAAAATTTTCTTCATAACCATCATCAAAATCATCATAAACATTTTTGTCAATTGATGTTTTAGGGAAAATTTTATTAGTAAAATTTGATAATTTAATCGAAGAAGAGCCAAGTTTTAAACCATTAAGAATTTGTTTTTTTGATTTATTTTCTTCTTTATCTTGATAAATACTCGTATTTTGGAAATAAGGTAAAGAACAAAGAGTGTTAACGTCAGCTCTTAAATCTGGATTCCAAGTAAGACAAGCTTTAATAACATCTTTTAATCCAGGATAATAATTTTCTGGAAGAATGTCATTAATCAGACTGCCAATACAAAAGGGTAAATGTAAACCAAGTTTTGAAGCTAGGGTTTGGGCTTCATCCCAATAACCACCAAGAGGGATTTTATAAGAATTATGTGAGGAGATGATTTTATTTGGCATTGAAGGATTACCTAAAATTCTTAATATTAAATATAATTGTTCTAATTCATTTTCGCCGGGGAAGAGTGGTTTAAAATTAGCTAATTCAACTGCCACTGTACCAAAAGCCCAAATATCAAAAGGTTTCCCATACCATTTTTTTCTTAATAAAACTTCTGGAGATCTATACCATCTAGTGGCAATATAAGCGGTATAGGGTTTAAAATTATGAATACTTCTAGATAAACCGAAGTCAGCAAGCTTAATTATATAACGATCCTTCTTTCTATTTGGAGGAATTGAATCATTTGAGCCAAAATATAACAGGGTGGGGATAACCAAGATATTTTCTGGTTTTACATCTCTATGGAAAAATTCGTGATTATGAATATGAAGAATTGCACCTAATAATTGAGTCAAGATACTTTTCAAAGTTTGTGGAGAAAAATGATCATTATTTCTTTGCTTAACAAGATTGAAAAGATTCGAATTCATTGATTCCATTACAATATGTAATTGGAAATTATTATTATCAATAAAGATATCGTAAATTTGAACTAAACCTGGATGTGAAGGTATTGAATGAATAAATTGAATTTCTTTAACTTTATAATAATCAGTCAAGTTAGGTAATCGTTTATTCATAGTTTTAATTGCAACCAAACTATCAAGATGGCAATATGATTCTTTTAAAGGACTTAACATTGTACTTTCACATTTAGCATCTTTTCTCAATAAATTATCCTGATCCTTTCTGTATCTTGCCAAAACCACCGAGCCAAAGCTGCCGCTACCAAGCTTTGAAATGACTTGATAGTTTTCTGGAAATGATTTAATATTTATTGAAGGTTTTTGCGAGATTTGTGTTTGAATATGGTTGCTTGAGTAAGGTTTAGTATAAGTATTCTCCTGGTTGAGTTCCATCTTGTACCTGGGGAGTGGAAAATAAGTGAAGAAGACGTGGATTGGCTCTTCTTTATAAGTGGTATAAGGATGCAACCTATCACATTTGAGGTTGTAAATGTGTTAACCACAAACAAAATTAAAAAAAGTGAGATTTTGCAGCTAACGCTATTACAGGATTGTATTACAGTAAGTATTACAGTAAGTATTACAGTAAGTATTACAGTAAGTATTACAGTAAGTATTACAGTAAGTATTACAGTAAGTATTACAGTAGGTATTACAGTAGGTATTACAGTAGGTATTACAGTAGGTATTACAGTAGGCCTCACAGTAGGTATTACAGTAGGTATTACAGTAGGCATTATAGTAAGTATAGCAAGTATTACAATAGTACAGTATGACTAGTGCAGTATGTATTAGGGAATGGGTAAAGTAAGTAATACAGTAATCAATACAGTAAGTTCGATGATATGGTAACCGAACTAGTCTACAGGTGATGAAATATCAAATGTATTTGAAGGAGTAACCGAAAAAACTAATATATCGAAAGAACTTTTAAATCCAATGAAAAGAGGAACAAGATAAACCTATAATGAAGCGCTCGGTTCGCTATAATACTCCATGCAAGCACGATAATCTTTATAGGTGAACGAAGCTAAGAAACAATAAGAACCATCACAGCCCTTTGAGTTGGCACAATCTGGAACGTATGGACTGAATCTTTTCTTATAGTTATTATATGTTTGAGCAATTTCGGTAGAAGAATTAACTTTATTTGCAACTTTATGCCAGAAAGTAGCATTCAAAGGAGATTCATCGGGCCAATTAACAACGTTATAGGCTTCTCTTGCACTATATTCGAATTCCCAAATGGGTTCTTCGGAATCATTAACAAAAGTATCATTTAATTTGAAATAATAATTATAGGAGTTCATGATTGAATGGGTTTTAGTATCAACAGAGTAATATCTCCAAGAAGGATTATTTTCAGTCAAAGGAGTAACGGCTTGGGAAATCCAGGCAATGTTTTGAGCATTTTCTTCAGTTTTATTAGAAACTTCACCATCGTATAAAACATTGAATTGATCTAAATGAGTATGACCAAAGAAAATACCAGCAATGGTATAAGGAGAAAATCGCTGAATGATTTGTTTGAAAACTTCAGCAGGGACTGGTAAAGCTTCTTGAACTAAAGGAATATGAGCAATAATCCAAACTCTTTGATCTATTGCTTCACTAGCAACTAATTCATCAATTAAAAATTGAAATTGTCCAAATGAATCAATATCGGTTGCATTCCAATAGTTATATAAGTTCGATAAATAATAAGCATTTGAATTTAATGCAATTACTTTTAAATTCTGGGTAGTTGTTACCGAATATCCAGTGTAATGTTCTTTTGCGTATTTAGCAGTCGATTCATTTAACCATCCGTAATCTTGCCACATTTCTCCCATTAATTTAGCATTCCAATCCATTAAGTTTTTGAATCCAGATTTTTCTTGTGCTAATTGGGCATAAGGGTAAGTATCATGATTTCCCAAAACTGGATAAACTGGTAAATCTTTCAAAGTTGATTTCATATCTCTGAAAATTAATTCTTCACTTTTAGCTGCTTTTTCAAATCCAATATATGCTTGTTCATCATGATCGACTAGATCTCCAGTGAAAATTGAAAAATTAAAATTCAAACCTAATTCTTCTTGATATTGAACAATTGATTTTAATGAGCTGTTTATCAATACTTCGGGAGCATCGCATAAATAGGATCCAAATTCGGTGGCTGGTTGCCAAATTGATGTATTTGATAATACATTCTCAACCGGGGTTTGATCTTTATGATAATTCAATTCATCGTCGTAAAAACCATTATAAAAACTTAAATTTGATAATTGTTCTTGAGTGAAATTGGAATTTTTTGTATAATTATAACCTTTCGGTGGTTGTAATTTATTATAATTATGATTAGTACAACACATATATTGGGAGCAATTGGCCTCGGATCCAATTTGATAATCCATTTCAATATGGAAGTCACTCACATGCAATACATTATAAGTTTCATTACTTGGTTCTGGTGCAATGTAATGTTTTGGTTGTTTGGCCGGCCATTTATCACTCAAGTCTATCTTAGGAGTTGCTGGAATTTCACAAGTTTTTTCAATGTATGAACAGTATAACTGTCCATCGTATCCCGATGGGTCCATTAAATATAACATATTAGCAAAATCTGATCCGTAAGTATTATTTTCAACAGTATTTCTACCGTAATGAATTCTACATTCAATTTCATCGTCAATCTTATTATCAATACACCATTTAATGAACACCGGATGAATCAATTTTGGCTTCAACAAAGCCAAATCATGTCCAACTTCCAATCTTCTAATACATCTATTACACTGAGTGGCATTGGTTCCATTATACTTTGTAATTTGAGTTAATTCTTTGACAAAACTATCAATCAATTGTTGTTCATCTTGATTGTACTGAAGTGATTGGTATAACGATTGAACATCGACATCAGGAGTCCGTGGAAGACTAACAGCACTCACTAACTGTCCAATTAGCAATATCAGTAAACTGATAAATGTAAATTTCATTCTTATCTACTAAAACTTACATTTATTTCAATCAAAACGTTCAATTAACTGATTTATATTTGAACATCAACCACGTTTCCAGTCTGTCCTCGATGCCTCAATCTATAAAATTAGATGGATATACGATATTGTTCAAAGCTAAATGAAACTACTCCTTTTCCATGTGGTTTTACCAAAACGTCAAATGTTTATCATTGACTTTGTGAAAATTGCAACCGGCACGTGCAACGCTTTTGCAATCAATTTCCGCTTTGTCCACCGTTTTCCGTCATTTTCATTTTGCAACTACATTATTGGTGTATTGGCGTATTCATGTATTGATGTATTTATGTATTTTCTTACACGCCAATGTAATCGCTGTTGGCTTCGAGATCACTCCCGGAAGTTTCGTCTTCTGATTCGGATTCGAGATGAATCATGAATTCTTCATTTGGTTGAACTTTTTCTTGTGTTGGCTGATCTATATAAAAGTCATACTTGTTTTCAAGTTTCCCTCGAACAAATAATAGCGAAGGATCGACAGTGTAACTGTTAATCACCTGCTTTTCACGCTCATCATCGCTTTCTATCAATATCTCTTCGTCCTTCTGTTCTCGCTGGTATTTATTACCTGGAAGTGTCATCAACTCTTGGGTTCTTAAAGTATATGGATGACTTAAAAAACAAGATTTCCCTCTAGGGCATTTACCAGTCTCCTCAAAATCTGGACATTGTAGTAAATGTAAAAATGGACATTTATCCCCTCGTATACACCATCCTGCAATTGCAAATGGTCGACAGGTCCATATTTCAGTATTTGAATCTTCATAACCCTTAGGTGTGGTATGCTTGTATCGACATTGACTATTGGAACATTTCTTCTCTAAATAATACTTACACAATGGAGTATTGAACTCATTGCTAGAATGTGATAGTAAACATTGCTTATTAAAACATTTCCCATTTAAAAATGGTATACAAAGCCTTATACGTTCTCGTTCATGTTTGTAATTACATGCATTTCCTTTATGACATATACCTAAAAATTTGGAAAATTTTTGATTCCAAAATTTCCCCTTGATTAGTATCATTTACTCGTTTACTCATAGATCTCCGTTTATACTCACCTGTCCTGCTAAAATATCGACAATAGTCTGTGTCACCCCTATAGATTAAAATGAAAGTATCATTGTTAGTATCCTTCTCCCACTTCTTCTAAAAATAAACTAAAACAAAAGGCCCACGTACCGTGCTCGACGAGAACTATGCTTCAATGACCCACTGGGTCTTACGGAATAATGTTTCCCATTCCAATCTACTGATGTCTTACGGAACGGTATCGATAATGGTATCAACTTATTTCCTCCCTTCGCCATTGCAAATATTCCGTCATCTATTTTGATTCGATCACAATCATCAAATTTAGTTTGGTTCTTAGATACCCGAAATCTTGCAATATCAAGCTGTCTTTGTAGCTTGAGCTTAGCCTTCAATTCGGCAGCCCTTTCCGCATACTTGGCCTTATCTTGCTGATAGATATTAGAATTAACCAAACTCATACCTCCTTTTGATACTTCGGATATATATTGAATATTCTGTTCAGAGTCCATTTCATTCTCATTACCACTTTCTTCATCTCCTTTACTCTTGATTTCGTTATTGAAAAAAACAGTCATATTCCGATACTTATTCACTCCTCGTTTCCCTCCACGAAATCCTCCTCTCAGCGATGAACCTCTGAACCCACCACGAAACCCTCCTCGATTGGCACTATACGATGCCGGAATCGGTTTGTTTGAGGCTTGATTCATTTGTTTGGCATTTATAGCCTTCTTGAGTGCAGCTATCTCCGCGTACTTCGCCTTTAGCTCAGGAGGATCCTCGTTTGATGACATCTTATTCCTTAAAACTAGTTGGTATTTGCAAAGCTTTGATATAGTTTTTTTTTGTCTAATCATCATTTTTTTTGACTGCTTTTTTTTTTCAATGATTTTTTTTTTTTTCAATTTGCACATACTTGCATTAGTCATTTACTACACCTTCTACAATTCACAATGTCATATACCAAACTTAAAAGCTATGCTGTTCCGGCAGTGGCAGAAATCCTACCTTTGGACAATGACTCCTGTCAAGAGATGATTTCATATACATTGACATTGCCAAATAACGAGATTCAATCACATTTTCTAAACTTATTAGGGGAAAGTGAAGCTACTTTTAACTTCATTGCAACCTTCATGGAGCTTAAAAGCCAAGGGGATGAACAAGCCTCTAAGAAATCAGAAAAAACAGAGAAATCAGCTGCTAAACGCATCAGCAAGAAAGAAAACCCTCAGTCTATAATACCTTCAAACCCTAAAGTAAAAACCCCGGCATGGCAATCACCCGAAGAATCAAAACCTCCTAAACAACTGAAAGGCAGATTGGATCACAATAAGTCAGCCACGACCTCAGAACTCATTGATCTAAAGCCTTCAAATCAATTGACCACTCAACAAGCGAAGAAATCCAAAAAGAAAAATTTGGATAGTCTCAAAGATATTGAATGGGCATTAAATGAATTAGAGGTTTCGGCGCAGGAATATGACTTGGATAGTTCGAATTATATCAAACGCTCGTGTAACTGCATGGCAACAAGACATCCATTATTTGAAGTTGCACCTAACTGTTTGAACTGTGGTAAGATCATCTGCTCAAAAGAAGGCCTTCAACCTTGTTCTTTCTGTGGTAAAGATTTATTGTCTTTCAAAGATAAAGAAGAGATAATCAAGATCCTTAAAGCTGAAAAGGAAAACTTGGATGTGAAGCAAGATAATATTAGAAACAAAAGTATTCAAGAACAAGAAGGACCATCAAAAGAGAAGGCAAAGAAAATTAAGATTAGTGTCAAGCCAGGTGAAAACCTTTGGCAAGCTCAAGATAGAGCTTTAAAGAAAGCAGATGAAGAAAAGAAAAAACTACAAGAACTTATAGAAAAACGAGAAAAAGAGCAAAAGGAAATTGAAGAACAAGAAATTGAATTAAAACAATATGAAAAGACCAAAAATGTTGATCCTGAACTATTGAAGGCACAAGAGCGTTTAGAAACTTTACTTAATTTTCAGGCTACTGGTGCAGAAAGAACTAAGATCATTGACCGAGCTTCTGATTATGAGATGCCTAGTTCGAATAATCAAATCAGCTGGTTGAGCCCAGCTGAACGTGCTTTACGTCTTAAGAAACAACAGAAACAACTTCGTAAATATGAGGATGAAGTAAAATCTAGAAGTGGAAGGGGTAAAAAAGTGGTTGAAATGGTTATTAAAGATGGTAAAGTAAATATGGTTGAAAGAACGATAAATACAGCAGATGATCCAGAAAATGATAAGGAAATGGAATCATTAAAGAATGAAATAAAAGAATCAAAACTACAATCAGAAGCAAATCTATCAAGGAATGTCTGGGATTATAAAAATGATAACAAATGGGAGAAACCAGTTTATATACCATCCAGTTCTAGAAAAGAGACTTCCAATGAGTTACCTTCTAAAATGAATGCTAGAGTCCAACTTTATGGAACTGATGATGAAAATGAATTGGTTAGTGCTTTACCTTGTTAAATATGCATATATAGATTAATTAACGTTTTCTCATACGACTTTTAAAACGCTTACTTCTCGGATCATTGATTTTAAGCCTTTGGTAATTATTACTTATTGGTTTGGACTTTCCTGGTCCCTCTACTGGACGTTTTTTCAATTGTAATTCAATCTCTTCATCGGAATTCAATTCCTCTTCTGAAACTTCATTTTCATCGATGTAATCTATATATTGTTTGAGGTTCTGTTCATCCAATTTTTTGATTTCTTCATGAATGTTTTTATTGAGGAAAGAATCTTCTCCAGTATTATCGTTTCTTGGTTTGATCTTCCATCTTCTAGTAGTTCTCTTTTGGGTTAATGCTTTCTTCTTTGGACGCGGTTGGTCAGCGGGTGTTTCTTCATGTTCCAGTTGCTCTTGTTCCTCAACAACTTCGTTTTCCTCTATATCTTCCATTTGAATATGTTTGTATTCATTATATATATCAGAAAGTTTCTTTCCTACTCCAAAAGACATAAATCTATGGGGTTTCAAAGGAGACGGTGAAACGGAGAAATTGATCAGAGAAGACTTGCTCGGAGTAGAGGGATTAGCATTTGATGCAAATGGAGATGACTTTATAGTGACAGCCGGTACTGGACTCTTTTCTTCTTTATGTGTGAAATCGAATTTTCGGTTGTTTTTAGATAAATAAGATGGTGTTTCTAGGGTTCTTGGTTCAATACTCGATTTTGGAGTAGCGATAGGCGAGCTTTCATTGGCGATGGAATGAAGTTTTGATGTGAGCCCCTTTACGGGTGTTTGCTTTTTAGATGGGGTCAAATCCAGGAATTGAAGGCGTTTTACTCCAGATTTTGTTGGAGTCTTGAAATTTTCAGATTTTGGTTTCAATGGGGATCTGGATATTTCAGGTAATGCAATTTTAGGTTTAAGAGGAGATGATTCGGGAGGTGTCAAGCTAATATCGAAAATAGATAGAATCTTACCATTTGCTTGAGGTGTTGGGCCCAATTCTGCATTAAGTGACAAGGAATCTCCCGGGGTATTTTTAAATTGATTTGCTTCCTCTTCGTCCGAGAAAGACTCAGTGATTTTGATATCAATATGTTTCACACCTTCAGCTTTTTTCTCCTCCTTCTCCTTTTTACTTCGACTATTGTGTGGAACTGTGGTTTTCTTTTTGGCATCTCTGTATGCTTGATATAGTTTATGGATTTCAGGTAGATTCTTTATATCGGTTTTTGTCGGTAGGTGATTGTGTTTTTGTTGAAACTCATGTTCCCACTGCTTGATTGACAGCTTTATTTGGTGAATTGATTCTTCTTTCCCCATGCCTTACTAACTTTCATTCAATCTTGTCAGTAAAGCTCTGAAAATATGAAAGAGAAGAGAGAAATAAAAAAAAAAAAATTTGAAAAAAACAAAAAAAAAAATCTACGCGTAGCGTGTTTGTAGCGCAAAATGTATTTATATTTGATATATACATAGAATCACTTGAGCTTATTGATATATACATAGAATCACTTGAGCTTATTAATCAAGTCAGATACTTTGGGGTATACTGAGGAGCTGTTCTCTTGGAGAGTGGAAAGGATTTTGTCCATGGCTTTGATGAAAGCAACTTTTTCGTCAGAGGTGTTAAATTCCGAGCCGTTCTTTGCAAAATCACCAATGAAAGAACCAGTAATTGAAGAATTTGAATCCCAGTATTTATTTAAAAAGTTCACCATTTGTGATTTGTCATTACGGGCAGCCAAATAAACAACCAAACGTACCCAATTTTCAATTGCAGGAGATTTGATTGAAGCACTAGGAGAATCGTGTCTAAAAATTTTGAAGGCAGATTCCCAGTGGCTCCAAAATTTATCCCAGTTAGCAGCGTTCCCGTAGGTGAAAAGGACCAATTCATTAAATCTTGAAGTTGGTATGCAATCCTTATTTTGGTGTTGTATAATTGTCAAAACGTCTCTTGATCTATTACTTGCTAAAACTATCGAAGGATCTGAAGAGTATGTAGGTATTTGAATTTGATCTTGGATGATGCGGTCGATAAGTTCGGAACCTATATAATTGTTTTGAGGAACAAAAGTTAATCTCCATAAAAGAGGAACTATCTCAGGTCTACTAGACAAGTTGAATTTCAGATTTGAGAAGCGATACAACTTAGCAATAAAATTCGATACTTTATCAAACAATTGATCTGATTGTTCTTTTGAAACATCTTTGAATTCGGGAGAGTCGATTAATAATTTGATATATTGTATGACATCGTTGACTCTTTCTTCTTCCAAATCATTACTTAAGGAGATGCTTAACGAGCGGTATTTATCTAAGATGGTATCGGTAATTTGATCCACAGAAACTATTTCAGGGGAAATCAAATGAATCAGCTTGTATAAGTCCCGCCTTATATTATAGTCGTTCAATTTGTCTGCGTTAAATCCTTTATTGAAATCACTTATAGTCTTGTGGATACTTTCAACGGTTAATAAATCGACTTTTTCTGATCTAAATGAATCATACAAGTTAGTGGTTGAATAATTTCTGGCAAATGGAGTCATAGTGTGGAATCTTCTGATACCAATGAAAATATCATCCGAATCATTAACCTCCTTCTGTTGTTTGGTATATTTTGGGAGATCTTCTGGTTTACACCATAAGCTTTCTAAATTGAGCTCTTCTCTTCTTTCTTCTGTTAACATATGAATATGGACGTTATCGATTAAAGTGTCACACATGACCCAACTATTAGCAGCCTTACCATAATCATTCATAGTAGCCGGTGGACCTCTTCTGGCTCTTTTCAACATACGACGACGTTGTACTGCAGTTTGGGCACTTCCAACCATACCTTCAACATCAGGTAAGATATCATGGTTATGTTTGATGTTTAATCGAAGCTCGCTGGCAGCTTTGAAAATATGTTTCTCAGATTTCCCAGTACATATTATTATATATTCTGCTGGTTGCTTAGAATTGTGGAAATCATGTTCTTCATCAAGTTTGGTTAAATCAAACAAATGGATGTTTTCCATACCATATTCATGTCCTAAAAGATTCAAAAAAATATCAACTGATTTTGGTGCATTTTCAGGAACCTCTGGAAGATCTATCTGTTTCACTTCGTTCAATTCAGATGATAATTTATCGTCACGAAGGTACCAAGGTATGGCTGCCTCCTGCTCTTCAGATTTGGTTTCTATGCTGCTGCCATTTAAAAACTCGGCTTTTTCAATTGAGGAGTAGCCTCTAACACATGTCCTAGTCAATCCTCTGATTAAAAGAGGGCTTCTCCTTAGAATACCCCTATAAGAATTCAACATGATGCCTTGAAAGAGTAAAAGATCTCTATTGGAAAATGCTTCTTGACGTTTTTCTTTTGAAGCAACGAAGAAAGTGCGACAATGTCGTGATGGTTTTTTTTTTTTTTTTTTTTTTTTTTTTTTTTAAAGCTCATCTTGCAACCTTTAGTCTGATTCTTTACGTTTATTACTGATTACAGGACTTTTACCACTGATACAAGAATAAAATGGCCAAGTTAGTACATAATGTGCAGAAGAAGCAGCACAGGGAGCGTTCCCAAACTCAAGATAGAGCCAAGTTTGGTCTTTTGGAGAAGAAGAAAGACTATAAGTTGAGAGCAGCCGATTATCATAAAAAACAAGCAGCATTAAAAGCATTAAAACAAAAGGCGTCAGCTTATAATCCGGATGAATATTATCATGCTATGACCAGAAAGAGAACTGATGATAGGGGGATACTTATAGCGGACCGTGGGAACGAAGCACTCTCTACCGAACAAGTGAAGTTGTTAAAATCACAAGATGCCAATTACATAAGAACAATGAGATTAAATGAGTTACTGAAGATTGAAAAACAAAAGCAGGAGTTAGATTTCCAATCAAAGGGGAAGCATACTGTATTTGTGGATTCAGAAGAGGCATTAGAAGATTTTACACCAGAAAAATATTTTAAAACTGATAAGAGTATGCTAGAAAGAAGAGAGAATAGGTTAAGACTCGATCAACTTGAAAGAAATGAAAAATTGATAAAGCAAGATTTATTTGAAGATCAAGAAGAAAGAGATAAGAAAGATGTTGAAAAATTAAATCAATATAAAACATTGAAAAGTAGATTAGAAAGAGAAGATAAATTACGCCAAGTTGAATCTCAAATGGAAACTACCAAAGAATTAATGAAGAAAGGAAATAAGAAAAAATTGGTAGATTCAAATGGATCAGTTCATTTTAAATGGAAAAACCAAAGAAAACGTTAAGTCTATAAAAAGCATCTATGTATATTAATAAAATCATTCATCATTATTTAAACTTCTATTAAGATATTCCACAAATATAGGTAAAATTCTATCAACATCCACACTTCTCATTCTATTTAAACTTATAAAAGTTCTTCTTATTCTTTGCAATTGAGCAATACTCACGGAAGTCAGAGGCATTTCAACAAATAATTTCTCATCTTTATCAATTAGAACTTGTCCACCTATTGAAGTAAGTTGTTGATGTTGCACTATTTTACTAACAACCGATTGTGTTTGTTTATCGAGTTCTTGAAGGTAATTATTACCGGATGTAGGTTTGACTAACGTTGCTGCGTTAGGTGGAGGGGCCCTTTTCAATACAAGAGCATTCCAAATCTCATTTATTGGTAATGATTCTTGTTCGTAGTCAGAAACAACAGTGAATAATGGTGAATCCCATCTAGTATCATTATTTGGTTCTTCATATCTCATGGCCAATTGATTTATAAGTTCTTCATCCCATGCGTTGGTGGGTTTATTCCATTCGACACATTTTTCAACCGGATTCATTACATGAACCACACAATGGGGTGTCACAACTCCTTTGGCTTCACAAAATAATTGATATCTAAAACCTTTAATATACGATAATGAATCTAAAATAACGAACTTCGAACGAGACAAGTCTCTTTTAACCGCAGACATCTGACTTCCTCTGGCATGTTTCTCAAGATTTGAATCTTTATAAGTATCGTGGGGAATACCTAATGTTTCATCAGAATGATATACTATTGAATAATTATAACCTGGAGACTTTGTTTCTTTAGCTTCTTCAATCTTCTCCTGTAAAAGTTTCTCCAATTTCTTTGCCCAAGTAGTCTTCCCAGAACTTGGAAGACCGGAAAATGTAATAAGTGGCATTCTTTAAGCACTTGTCTAATTGCAGTTAAAATAAAAATCAGAAAAGATCAACTTGATGAGTTCTTCATTTTTTTTCCTACTCGCTTTTTCAAAAATTTTCAAGATTTTGATGCTTTACAACTCGACTAGATCACCAGAAGATGTCGTTCATACCGAGAAGAATATTCCCAGAATATTTACTTACGTTATCTAATTTCAAAGGCCATCACCAAAAAGCATTAACGAGACTAGGGCATTTGGCTCCGCAAATCGATTTGGTTATTGAAGTGAGGGATTCAAGAGCTCCATTATCCACCACAAATGTTTTATTTGACAAAGTATTAGCCAGAAAGGAAAGAGTTGTTCTATATAGTAAAAAAGATCTTTCGATAATAAAGAATTCAATGCTAAAGAAATGGCATGAGTCTCAAAATCAACAATACATGTTTATTGATTCCCGTAGTGCTAATGATGCTCAAAGAGTTATTGATTTAGTCAAAAAAAGATATGAAAATTTGCCTTTACCTCCACCGTTAGGACTAAGATTAATGATTATAGGAATGCCTAATGTGGGTAAATCAACATTGGTGAATACTTTGAGAGATGTAGGGTATAGTTCTAAACAAAATACTATATCTAGTAAAAAGAAGAAGGTTGCAAAGACCGGTGGTCAACCCGGGGTCACAAGAAATACGAGTGAAATCATTAGATTGAGTGAAAGTCCAGATATACTTGTTTACGATACTCCCGGAGTCTTTTTACCGACTGTTAAAGATAGTGAAACGATGTTGGCGTTAAGTTTAGTTGGATGTGTTCATACATCTTTTGTTGATCCGGTAATTCAAGCAGATTATTTATTGTACTTGTTAAATCTCCAAGATCCTACTGGATCAAAATATTCAGAATACATGTCACATCCTACAAATGATATTCATGAGTTATTATATAACATTGCTAAAACCAGAAATACTTTAAAGAATGATAAATATGATGAGTTGGGTGTTGCTACTCATTGGACTAATCTTTGGAAGCAAGGGAAAAGTAAAAAATATAAAGGATTATTCGATTTAGGGGCAATTCTTGATTTGAATGGAGAAGAATTAAAGAAGATGTTTAAAGAAGAACGGGAAAGAGTCAACAATACTAGTGTTGGTACTAGACTTAATGATAGATTGGGTGATGATAATGATACTAATAGAAAACGAACTGCAAAAGATCGAGAATATGATCTTAGAAATCAACTTTTCAAATTATAAGTATATATTGTATATAGAACTAAAGATCGAAATCAGGAACTTCATCAAAGTCTAAATCAGATTTATCATCATCGGTTTTTCTAATCTTTTGTTTAGGTTCCTTATCAATATATTTAATTCTTAATTTATTAATAAGTTTCTCCACTTCTGGGGATGAATTTTTACTTGAAAGCCAATCCAGAGAAGTCGAAGAATTCAAGTTTAAAATATTTGACAATTGAAACAAATTATTTGATTCCGGATCGGCGTCTTTATCAACCAAATTTTTTTTAATGAACTCTGGATCCAATAAGAAATCATTTAAATCATCAGAGTTCAAAGATTCTTTTATAGTTTTTTTATAGTAGGAATGAAATTTATGTAAAGCAGGAGATGGAGATAGTAATCTTGAATTGGTATTATCCGATTTGATTTTGAAAAAAGGATTTGGTAATTTCGGGACGGTAGAACTAGTTAAAGTAACCTTGAAGTTATCAATGATTGAAGGGTCTGAAAATTCGTCATCATCCAAACTTTTTGAATTGATAAAATCTTCCATTAGTTTATTAGTTTGCTTACTAGGGTAATTAAACTTTTGATCAAACCGTTGATCATCGTTGTCATCGTCATCGTTGTCATCATTATCGTCGTTGTCATCATCGTCGTCGTTGTCATCATTATCGTCGTTGTCGTCACCAACTTTGTCGTTATCATTATTATTATTTATTAACCAAGGAAACCTTCCTAATTTTTCATCTTCTTTAAAAGGCAATCTTATTAAAGAAAAGGTAAAGATGAATTCATTATTATGTTTAATTTTAAAAGGTAATAAAGCCACCAAGGAAAAATCTTTTCTATTAAATTTCACATACCTTGCAATAGCAACAGTATCAAGATCTAATAAGGATTTAATAAAACTGGATAAACCAACAATATCTTGAGGGTCACCAGTTTTGGAAGGTAATACATAAAAAGACTCATCAGTGTAATAAGCAAGAGGTATATCATTTTTTTTTAAAAACCCAAGAATATCAATAGCCGGATCATCGGTCAAGGTAGCTTGATCAATTAACTGTTTACTAGTAGCCACCATATCAAAATTAGAATATTTGAACCCATTAACCATTTCTGATTTATCCAAGTATTTCTTTTCTAAAGAGACATCTTCGTCATCATCAAGGGATGGTTGATTATCGATTGGATCATCATCAGAAGGTTTATTTTTCTTTAATATATAGTAGTCAGTTTCTCTCTTTATTTTGTCAATTGAGTTATCATTTATATAGAATTGAGAAGCAGTAGGATAAGAATCCGATTTCACCATTGGATATAAATGAATATCGAATTTAATCTCCCCACCAAGATTTAAATTACCTTTGAACAGAGGAATTGGTCTAACCAATTTGAAAGGAGGAGCATTATTAATAAGGTCAATAGAATCCACTGCATTGATGAAATAGGCATTGGGCCCAATTTCATTAATGAGCCGGTTCCATAAATCACTTTCACCAATACCATTAACTACCAAATTTACATTTAATTGTTTAAACGAAGAAGCCACTGGTTCAATAACTTCTTCTTTGAAAGAATTCAGGGAAGTTACAAAATCCGAAACAACCACCAAATTCCGTACATATTTCAAATGTTTAGTATCATTAAACAAACTCAAGCCTACCAACATTGCCAGAAATAAATCGCTTTCGTCTTGTGCTATTGGCTCAGAATTTACAACCAATTTAGACTTTAATTCCCCCAATAATTGATAACTCGGAACCAGTTTATCGGCAATTAATTCAATATTCTTATATTTCTTACCATCACTAAAAGGATTCTCGGTTATAGGTGAATGGAAAGTTACCAACCCTATACAATCAGTTTTCCGTCCCTTAATGAGTTTTTCAATGAAAATATCGTACACATAACACAACCCTAGATCCAACGCGGTACCACCATTAACCTCAGCAGCCATAGAAGGCGATAAGTCAACAACAAACACCGTGAGTTCCTTCTCAGACATCCCCGGAATAACTAAAGATGAAAAAAAAAAAGACAAACAACTCAAAAAACGTCAAAGAACGTCAAAAACGTAAAAACTAACAGAACCAAGATAAAGACTCGCCTGTAAAACTCGAGTAGATCTCACCAATTACCAAATGCTACCAACTTCACTTTGCCGTATCCCAAAGGTGTAGTTCACACCAAACAATCGTGCTATTTTTGTTTGTCAGTACAATTTGAATTGAAAATAGTGCAAGAATGAACGAGATTTTTTTTGTTGTTTTTTTGTTCTGTTGGTGCCTTTTTTTAGTGGATTTTTAGTGTTCTTTCATTTTATTTGCCCTAAGATGTTTTTTTTTTCGTTTTATTTTAGCTTACATCGACTTCATATTCAAGTACTAAAGACGTGATATTCTTTCTTTGATTTGTTGGTAGCTTGAAGGTGATTTTGTTTGTTTTATTTCTTGTTTGTTTTATTTGATTTGTTATTTGTTATTTGATTTTGATTTTGATTTCGATTTTGATTTTGATTTTGATTTTGATTTTGATTTTGATTTTGATTTTGATTTCGATTTTGATTTTGATTTTGATTTTGATTTTGATTGTTGATTTTGATTTTTCATTTTGATTTTTCATTTTGATTTTTCATTTTGATTTTTCATTTTGATTTTCCATTTTGATTTTTCATTTTGATTTTCCATTTTGATTTTTCATTTTGATTTTCCATTTTGATTTTGATTTTTTTCATTATTTCATTATTGATTGATTGATTGAATTTGGTATTCGTTGATTTGATTTGTTGTTTTGACCGTGTAAACCTGTTTAACGGGTTTTTTCATTGTCTTTTGATTTAATTTGTACTGATTTATTGATTTAGTTTGTTATTTTGTCTATTTATTTGATATACTAAGGTGTATCCAGGTTACTCAAGATTACCTGTTTGTATAATTATCTTAGTTTGCCTTTCCAGTTTGTTTGTATCAATTGATTGGTATCATTCACTAGTTTGCTTTTTCCGTTTTTTCAATTCTATCTAAGTATTAATTCCCTTTTGGTTGGGTAAACTCCTTCTTTGCATTCGTTACTAACTCTATGTTGTACCATGAGTTCCCCTTATAATATGTATAATTATCAACAATATCAACAACCTAACCAACAATTCCAACCCGATAATCAAGTTCCATCAAGTCACGGGATGACCGGTGGTCAACCACACCAGCAGCAAAATCAACATCAAAATCAACAGCAACAACAGCAGCAACAGCAACAACAGCAGCAACAGCAACAGCCTATGAATTATGATCAACCCATTCAAAACTTCCCATTCCAACCGTTCCAAAGACCGTTTGATTATAATTCTGAGAACTTCTCAAAAGAACAACCGTTACAACCTCCTATATTATATCCGCCTCATATTCCAATACCTATCGATCAACATTTACCTCAACCTTTCCATAGCCAACAATTCCAATCTTCAGAAATCAATCATCCTCCTCCTCACTTACCAAGTATCGGATACCCCAATTATCCAAATAATCAACCTTATCAAAACCCACCTTATCAAATTTATAATCAACCTATTATAAACAATCTGAAATCAGAAGTAAAATCTCCTCAAGAAGGATCATCTTCTCAACAATCTTTCCCTCATTATCCTCCTCCGCCTCCCCCTCCTCCGCATCAGCATCAACATCACCATTTTCCTCCTCACCATCACCAAGTTCCTTATTCAATGGGCTCAACTATGTTGGCAACTCCTGTGGCACCTCCTGTGGCACCTCCAATGGTGTTACCTTCGACGATGCATAAAGGTTTTAAACCCCAATTTGAACAATTTGATAATCGATTGATTTTAGATAAAAATTCAATAAATCATTTTAAACCTATTCAAACCAAAAAAAATTCTCGACCAAGAATTAATAAATTAAATAAAAATGAACAATTACTTCTGAAAGTAAGTTCTGATATTAGAAGATCATCAATTCAAAAAAATAAAAAAATTGAATATTGTGAAAAATCATTGGATGAATTATTTCAACATTTTCAAAAAGTAATGAACATTGAAAAGCCAATTAGAAATGGAAATTTAGAAATGGGAATTGATTATCAATTAAAAGTTAAAAATGATTTAGAAAGTAAATTATTAGATTTATTTATCCATAGATTATCAAAATCGATTGATATTTTTTTACCAGATGAAATTTTCAAAAGAATTATACCAGAATTAAGTCTTTATGACGAAACTGGAATGATATTAGATTCAATTTTTTGTTTAAGTTCATTAATTTTTCAAAGATCTGCTCCGGATAAAATTGATCCTTCAATACCAGTTAAGTATTATCATCAAAGTATTAGATCAATAAGATATTATTTAAGCATACCAGGAATTGAAGATAATGATAAAGGGATTTTTTCAAGATGTTTATTGAGTACAATTATATTATGTGTTTATGAATTATTTTTTGTTGCCGTTGATAGTACTTATATTAAAGGAGCCTCAAGTATATTATCAACAATATTATCGAAAAATAAAAATGAAAGTATATTGAAAAATTCCCCATTTCATCAAACATGTTTTTGGGCAATGTTTTTCAGTGATTTGATTTTATCATTAAAATATGATTTACCGAGTATGTATTCAAGTGATAAATTTTGGAAACCATTGGATCCCGAATATTTTGAAAAATATAATAGACCTAGTCATGTTGAAATTGAAAAATATCAATTAGAAGAAGAAGAAACAAAAGAAAAAGAAGGATTAAGTGAAGAAGAAATGGCAAAATTAAATTATGATAAATATATATCTGATTTAACATTAAATAAAGAAGATACGATTTGGTGGTTATATAAATCATTACTTAATTATAGTTCAATTAATGAATTTAATAATCAAGTGGAAGTTATAACAAAACAAGATTTTGAAAACAATACTCCATTTAAAGAATGGTTAAAATTAAAGTCAAAATTGGATGAATTTGAAAGTTATATGCCATTAAATTTAAAACCAACAATATATAAACCAAGTTCAAATACTAGAGTTTTCCCAATCATTTTTTTCAAAGATGAAATGACGGCCGTTTTAGTATTAAATTATAAATTATCCAAAATTGCTTTATATGAAGCCTTAATTCTGAAACCAAATCAAAATGATGATTTAGTTAAAAATCAAATTGCAAATTACCCTCCTGATTATCGTCAAAAAATTGCAAAAGATATTATTGGTATCTTAATGACTTATGATTCAAATATTAACGTTTGGTCCGTAAACGTTCATACTTTAAGACAATTGGCTAAATACGTAGGTAAAGATCCGGAAACTCATAAAGGTTGGCAGAATTTAGTTGAAAGAGTTATACGACTGATTCATCTTCGATTCGAAGTTCATCAATAATTACTAGATTTATATACATTTGTATCTATTTATATAGTTTATATTCTAAAAAGTTTGTTACACAGCCAACACGTCATCACGTATATGTATCCCTTATATCCTCTCCATGTATCTTTGGTCTTTTTTGCCGTCTAAATAGGTAGTTGTATCGTAAAAGCTTTTGTAAACATCATGCTACTACCCCCGTACCTTCCCTAGTGAACAAGGACACCGTAAAGGGTTATCCTTCCGTTAACACCAAAGCACCTCTTCCTATAGATATACATATATATAGCAGCCTATCTAAACCTATAGAAGCATATCTAAGTATCGGTATATGCATATATGTACCCGTACACCCAGACGAGTCAAGTCATCCTTCAGCTCAAGTCGAACGCCGCCTCTTGTCTCAAGCTTAGTAATATTATCAGATCTACAGGCTGCATCTTAATTGCATTTACTCATATAAGTCTGATTCTAGTCAAGTGCTGTTAACAAAAAAAAAAACAGAGCAACGAGTTCAATAAAATTTTCAGTTAAATTTTCAGTTAAATTTTTCTCCATCGGTATTAAATACTCTGTTACTCCTTGAGGTAGATTTAACCCTAAGTTCACGAGCTATTGTTGTTTTGCTTTTCCCCGGAGTTGAGTCTATTGTTTGCTGTAAAGACACCTACATAATTGTACTTTTAGGGAGGTGAACCCCTAGTATTTGAAATACATTATTACATCTTCTTTTTATCAAAGACAGAGATGAACCAGTCCAGTTTAATCAAACAACTAAGAATAGATGGTCGGAATCCAGAATTCTGTAAGAAGATTACTTATAAAGAGTTTGATAAAATCATTCATTTACTTTATAATCGATCAGAGCCAATAGTATATTTTGAGACTATTGATTTGTTGGCTACTATATCGAATATTTTATTGGTTAATCGGGAATTGCATACTCTATATTTTACCAAAACTTACTCGAATGATATTTTACAGTATCTTGATAGTTTGATTCAATCAAGAATTGCTCTTGGAGCAAGACCCGAAAAAGATTATGATTTCACTTCTCTTATTCCAATTTACAGATTGATTTTTTTAATCTTGTACGATGGTTTGAATAACGTTAATGATGATCTGGTTCACAATATATATTCTTTATTGATAAGGGGGTTTAAGTTTTGTGATGGGTTATTCACTAATTTTAAAAGTCACGAACACTATAAAATGACTTTTATCGAAATTTTGAAAAGTTTATATACTTTGAATCACAAATATAAATACGGTGGTGAATTAATTAAAAATGAACATTTATCCCTTAATGTTATCTTAACTATTAATGAAATGTTTGATTATAAACCAAATCCAACCACTCTTACGCATACTGGTCGTTTATTAATAAAAAATTTATTAAATTTCTTATTGGGTCTATTCACAGTTGATAGTTCTATACCAACTATTTACTCCTTAGATGTAAATGTTGATCATTATAATAAGTTCTTCAATAATTTGTTAACCTTGTTAAAATTTCAATTACAAAATTATCTCCATGAATTTGATCATGCTTCGGAATTTGAATTAAGTGATTTGAATAATTTATTGGTTGTTATTAATTTCATTCATCAACAAGTAACTAATCAATTTTCCAATAATTCGAGCTATTTATTAAATCTTCATTTGATTTTGAAAAATGGCTTTTTCCCAAATGAAAATTCATCTTATATCTACAATAAATTGATTAACTTGATCAATTTATCAAATAAATCTTCGATTTCGACCTCAGATTCGTTTTTCAATTCAAAAAATACCGATTTAGATATCACCCAATTATCCTATTCGAAAAATATCATTCTTCAGCTTTTTTATAATCTATCTTTCAATGATGATAAGGAAATCCAATTGATTGATTTCTTAAACTTGATGGGATACCTCAATTCAGAAGCGTTTATCCGTAATAATGAAATATCTTTGCCTTCTCAAATAGATTTAGAAAAACATTTATATCCAAGTTCTGATTATTTGGATTCGTCAAATGATGCTGATTCAAATATCTCAAAAGGTGAAAGTGCAATTAGCTCAATCTTTAATCAACCAAGATTTTCTAGAAATAATTCCTTCACGTCAAATCAATCAATTCAACCAAATGATGATTTAACAGAAACTGAAAAAGAAATTGAAGCTGAAAAATTGTTCAATATATTTGATAGAATGGAAAAAATTGGGGTTTTTCAGAATTTTAAAAATCCAGTTAGAGAATGGCAGCAACTGGGTAGATTCGAAAATTTGCCTAATGACGATAACGATGATTAAATTGTTGAACTTTCACTTATTTCTCCCGTACTTAATTATTCTTTACTTTATTCTTCCATACTTAATTCTTCCTTACTTAATTCTTCCTTACTTAATTCTTCCTTACTTAATTCTTCCTTTCTTAATTCTCCATTACTTTATTCTCCCTTACCTAATTCTTTCATGATGATAATGTCTTACGAAATGTCAAGAAAATTTAAAGCTATTTGCTTATTTATAACAATTGATCGTATTAATTGATACTTGATCTTTTATTGGTTCTCCATAAGTTATAAAAGAGATTGATTTTATATACTATAATAAAAGTTTTGATTGTTGTTTTTTTGAAAATCGACAAAAGTAGAATGAAATACAAGCTAAATTATTAATTATATAGATTAAATATGCTATTAAACTCTGTCTTTCAATTGTAAAACAATTGCAGTTCTACTTGGAATATAAACAAATAAAGAATTTGCACGGTTATTCCAAGGATCATTATTCGTGAAAAATTGTAACTTCTCACCGGTAGAAGTGACTTCTTCAATCCTACCATGACCACCAAACTTAGGATCATCAGAATTCAAGACAATTTGATAAACCCCAGGGGATTCAACACCAACTTTATAGTCAGGGAAAGATTGAGTAGAATTGAAATTAAAAATAAATAATAAACCATTTCTTTCAAAAACTAAAACCTTGTCTCCTTCATGTTTTAATGAAACATAAGCTTGTTGTGATAATAATATATTATATTTTGTATCTAAATGTTGCATTGCTGCATCAAATTCGAATAAAAATTTATACCTTAATAAATCATCTTCAATCAAATTAAACTGTCTTCTAGCATAATGATAAGATTCATCATTACCAACACGAGGAAAATCCAACCATTCAGGGTGGCCAAATTCATTACCTTCAAAAGTTAAATAACCTTCACCTCCCAAGGAAAACGTAAGTAATCGAATTAATTTATGTAAAGAGATACCACGATCAATAACTGGGGTTAACTCAGTCAAGACTGACATATTAGTATACATTTCTTTGTCCATTAACCAAAAGGCAATAGTTTTATCACCAACTAAAGCTTGATCATGAGATTCACAATAACTAATACATTTTTCACCATACCTACGATTAGTTAAAGTATGAACAATCAGACCAAGATCCCATTGTTCATCAGTTAAATGCTTCAAAATTTTAATCCACATATCGGGAATAGCCATAGATAATCTATAGTCAAAACCAATACCCCCTTTATTTACAGGCAAACATAAAGTGGGCATACCACTAACATCTTCTGCGATTGTAGTTAAAGTGATATCTTCACGAATTGAAATTTCATCAAGTAATTTATGAGCTAGAATTAAATAAGTAATTGCATCGTTATCAACCAAATCAGGATTAAAATATTCATTATAATCACCACTAAAACCATAACTTAAACCATGATGTTTATAAAGCATACTTGTAACACCATCGAATCTAAAACCATCAAACCCATAGAATTCAATATAGAATTTCAAGTTCGATAATAAAAATCTTAAAGTTTCATAATTGGAATAATTAAATAATCTTGAATCCCATAAGTCATGGTTTCCTTTAGCACCTCCATGAAATAAGTAATGATCAGTACCATTGAACATATTTAAACCATCTTCAACATTTTTAGAACTATGGGAATGAACAACATCAAGTAAAACACTAATTCCTAACCTATGAGCTTCATCAATTAACTCCTTCAAATCTTCCGGGCTACCAAATCTAGACGAAGCAGCGAAAAAATTGGTAACTTGATACCCAAAAGAAGCGTAATAAGCATGTTCCATTACAGCCATCAATTGGATGGTATTATAACCCAATCTATGAATAATTGGCAAAATTTTGGTGGTGAAGTTCTTGTAACTACCAACTTTTGCTTCCGGAGTAGAAATCCCAACATGGGCTTCGTAAATTTTGATACCGTCCTTATTCTTAGGCCTTGGAGTCTTTCTTTTATATACATCCGATGGGTTTGGGTTCCAAAAACGTCCTTCATAAAGAGTATTTTCAGTGGAGGGAGTGGCTCTAATCACCCACGGATCAAGACGGTAAATACGTTCTCCAGAGGGTAAAAGCATGCTGATCTTATAACGAGAATCATGAGGGATTACAAACTCTCCGTCAACCGCATCTATAGTTAAAGACCATAATCCAAAATTATTAGCTTGACCCAATTTGTGACTATTGGGGTTCCAATGATTAAAATCTCCAACAATGGAAACTTCCTTTACATCTGGAACATACTGAGTGACTGTAATCTGTTTGGTATTCCAGTCAGCATGAACCCCGTACTTTTCATATGAAGAAGCAAAAGAATCCAATGATTTTTCACTCTTCAATAATGATTCATGCCATTCTTTGAATTGTAATTGACGATTAATTAATTGCGGAGAAAATGGCTCCAACCAAGGGTCCACGTCTAACGCACCTTTGATAAGGTCTTTGCTGGCACTGGAGTCTGAATTGAATTGGGACATGTAAGGGTGTGTTTGAAGATATACTAGAAGAAAGTGAAAATAAAGTGATCATTGTGACAATTTATACTTTCATTATCGGCCCCCTTAATTTAAACTTGTGTTGCTACATTTTCGTTTGTTCGTCTTCAATGGGGGTCTGACGCCTTTATTACCCTCTTTTTCTTCCTGTTAGTCCGCCTGCCAGTACCTCTGGTCCTTATCTTGAGTCTACGCTGCACATACTACGATATTTCAACTTAAAACAAGATTGAAACTGTTGGTGAACATGTTGGGGACGGTATTAATTGAGGTGGGGGAAAGCCTTTTTTTACGAGAAGCGTCTGGTTGGTGTACGGGTGTTTTGAATTTTTCAACAAATAATATACATAAAAATACATAAACTTTATCTAAATCTTTGGGTTAAGATTCTATCGGGCCCAACTTCTTTGTATTCTTCCTTGCTGACCCACATTTGGTGGAAAGTTCCTAGAGACGCGAGAACACTACCACCGATCCAAGTTTGGTTGAGTCTTTCGTTGGTGTTCCCGATGGCATGGAGCCTAATTTTGAGTCCAGGATTTGAATTAGACAACTCAGTGTATAATCTTTCTGTCAATTGGGGGATTAGAGAAACACCACCAGTAACGATGATGTTATGGGCTACTGAAGTTCTTAAATCTATGTCTACCGAAGAGATGACATGAGTAATTAATTGACTTAAACCTCTTGCACGAGAAGAATCTTCAGTTGGAGCCGGAGTAGGGGTTGATTCAGGTTTACGAGCACGTTTCAATGGTCTATAATCATCGTAGGGACCTTTAATAGATAATTCACCATTATCTGAAGGATATTTTTTATTTAATTCTTCGGTACTAAATTTATAATTCAGAGGATCAAATAGAGAATCGGCCAATTTAAATCTTTCATTGGATAATTCAATTGATTGTCCTGTTGGTAATTCAAATAATCTTTTATAAGTATCCTGTGAATAGAATTCTTTTAATGCATTATTCTGTTGTGGGTTATTTACATTTAATTTTTTCTCTGGTACTTGTAATAAAGTTTCTTTAAATTCGTGTAATACTTTTCTTCTTTGATATTCATCAAATGATTGAGTGACTTCCACATCTTTTAAAGTATAATTTGAGTCGGGATAAACCATTGGAACTTTTGATTTAATTTTATATTTTCCTTCGTATTGTATTCCTTTAACTTTTAACATATCTTCAATTTGATCATCCAAATAATGTCCACCGTAATGGGTTCTAACTGCATTTTTCAATAAACACATTCCATCAACCACTGGAACAACACTAACTGAATCATGTCCAATATCAACAACTATACAATTTGGTCTACCTTGTTGAAATGAAACACATGTGGGAGATTTTGCTAAATATAATGCTGGAAAATCAAACTTTTCATAAAATGTTTCTACTAAGTTTTGACGATACTCCATATCATTCCACACTGGTTCAGTTATTAATAATGGTTGTTCTTGATAGTCAATCTTTAATATATCGTCAAAATAATATTGATATTGTTCCAATGCTGCATCCCAATCGGTGATCACACTATCCTTTAATATTGGCTTGACCTGCTGATTTGCCTTGGGATAATCAATTGCATCATCAAATCTTCTTTTCTTATCAACTGACTCGGTATAATAAGAAGGTGTTATAATCTTGGGGAAATCGTCTCCCGCATACCCTATTCTGGTACGAAAAGAACCGGGGTCCAATACAATAGCATTAATTTCATCACCCCCGTATACTGAGTTGGAATTTCCCGAGTTTGACATGGTTATTGAAGATTAAATGGTTAGTTTGTGTTTTACTGGTTTGTATTTTCCTGTTGATGAAAAATTGAAAGAGTCGAGGAAAAAAACCTCCGTACATATTTCATCACGTGATTGCCGGTAATAATCATTTTTTTATATTTCTATATATTTTACAAAATTTTTGATTCAGAGTCGATTAAACTAAGTAAGAATTCAGCCTCTAATCTTTTTCTACCTTCTAAGACCCAGTCACGAGCTAATTCTCTGCTCCAGCCTTTCAAGTTGGCGGCTTCTTCCACAGCAACATCTAATTCACCTCTGGTTAAACTTTGTTCAACTCTACCAATAACTGATTCGATATCTTTACCATTTGGTTTAGAACCTTTAACTGGTAATAATAACTTAGAGAAGAAAAAAGAAGATAAATGACCTAATAAACCAGCATTTGGAGGTAAAAGAGAAGCCGATCTTAATTCAGGACTTAATTGTTCCCAACGAGCTAAAAGTTGAGAATTAGTTAAAATAGATTGATTTGATTCTTTAGCAAGTAAAGGAACTAAATCTTTTAAAACTAAAGAAAGTAATTCGTCATTGGATTGTTGAGAAACTTGAGCTAAATTTTGAATATATGGAGTAAGAAGTTTTGGAGTTGAAGATTCTTCAGATAATAATTTTTTTAATTGATTTATCGATTGTTGTACTAAAGCTTTTTGATGATTTGATTTTAATTGACTTTCTAAACTAGTTGAAAATTTTTCTAAGTCATTTAATCTTGAAATTAAAGATTCTAAATTAGCTAATCTACCATTTCTTTCTTGATCAATTTTATCTTGAACTAATTTTTCAAATTTTTTAGTTTGATCAATTCTTACCATAGTAACTGCGTTAACAGCAGCTTGAGAAATAGTTTCTTTAGCAGCATCAATTTCTTGTTTTAATCTTTGATTTAATTTAGTTTCAAGTTTAGTTTTTTCTTGATTAAATTGATGTAAGAAATTTTCAGTTAATTCTAATTCTTTTTTAGTATATGAAGATAATAATTCAGTTTGAGAAACTTTTAATTTACTTTGTAATTCATCATCAAAACTTTTAGTTAATGAATTTAATTTTAATGCTAAAACACTAACATTTTCATTAATTGCTTTGATAAGACTTTCACTTTTTTGACCTCCTGATCCAGTTTCAATTGATTTAATTAAATCATTGAATGATTCAATTGTTGATTTAACAGATGCATCAACTGATGAATTATGAATCTTGATTAATGGTAAATGTTCAACAGATTTTTGAACAGCTTCAATTTCAACTGGTTTTTGTAATTGTTGTGCTGGTGTAGTATCAGTACCTTCTTCCTTTGAAGTAATTTTAGGTTTACTTTCTTCATTTGATGAAAATTTCTTCTTAGTCTCCTCTAATAAATGCTCACCTTGGTGTTCTAATTTAGAAGTCAATTGTTCGAATTGATCTTTAGATGGTAATTGTTCACTAGCTCTGGATTGTAAAGAGGTAAATTTCTTCTTTAAATCTTCAAAAGATCCCTTTTCAATTAAATCTAATAACTCTTCATGGTATGGCAATTGCTGGTCAATAACAAAATCTAAGACTTTATCATTTTTAGTGGCTGCATACAATGTAGCCCCGTAAACAGTAGCTGCAAACACTGTAGTTTGAAATAAAAATTTAGTAAAGGAAAACTTCTTCTTATTCCCTGGTGGTTTAGATGGTGAAGTATTTGGTTTCACAATTGGGGTCTCGGCTTGTTTAAGAATGGAAGAACAGCTGATCCCACGAGTGGTTGGTACTTTACGAACAGTACTACGGCTGGCTGCACGAATCATCATCTTTGCTGAATATATATTCTATACTAAGTCCTTCGTCCAAATTTAAAAGAACCGAACGAAAGAAATTTCAAATTTACCAATCAAAATCTCGAAAAAGACTTCAAAGGAAACCTCCGTACATTCTCCTTCGTGAGAAAATCACGTGACATGGTTTTTTTATTTTCATTTGCAGCACTTTCAGTTAAAGCTATTTCTAGCATACTTTTAATGGCACGGCTCAACTCATCCCTGTTGGGGTCATTGAATGAGTGGTCAATTTTATTGAGTTCACGAGATAGTAATTTTCTGCATTCCCGCGGATTTCCAGCGTTAAGAGGACGCACAGAACAATCCATAATTTCATTTAGTTCGTCAATTGTTTTGGCAGCTTTGATTTTATTGGCCATTATAGGAAACTCTGAATTGGATATAAATTTCAATATATTAGTTTGGATTAGTTCAAGTGCATTAGAATTTGAATTGAATTCGAATTTCTCAATGACAGAAAGACATCTATTCATAAAATCACGAGGTTGCTCCTTGGGATGAGGAAAGATAACATTCAATTTCTGTAATTCTTCATATGCTGCAAAATCATAATTGAACTCTTGAAGAAGGGTTCCTATAATGTAATTACCGTCGTGCTTAAAATGCTGTGGGATATTTTCCAGGACAAATTCTTGGATTGAATCAGCTAAAACAATTGACCAATGTTTTGGATGAACAAAATATTTTTCAAAATAGTCTTGTACTTTCAAAATATGATTCCTGGCTTCAACTGGATTTTTGTGAAGATTCTTGTTTGTATTTCGTGGTGGTGCTATAGATTCAGGGATATCCTTGGTAAGAAGAGACTTTGGAATTCTAATTTTTGATTTATCACTTCCTTTAGCCTCTCTTATAATAGACTCGGCAGATGTTTGGAAAGATCTCTTCGGATGTATCAAACCATGTTTGATAATATCTAGAGCGTTTTCAATGAAAATACAAGTTGTTCTATGACAATCAATAACAATTATTTTGAAGTCTTCTCTCAAACTTGCTGAAATATCACCTAGCCTCTGTCCATTGGATATTTTCAAAGCTTTGTCGGTGATAACTTTAAATCTTTCACAAAAAAAGTAAATGTTATTTAATAATTTGGTTGTGTTTAATTCATTGATTCCTTCTAACTTGTTGGCGAGGTCATCGACGTCATCTTCATCTACCTCTAGACTTGATTGAATCATGGAACTCTTCTTATAAACCATGTCAACAATCCCGTGATTAGTAAGATGTGAAGAATCAAAAATATCCACAAGCTCTCTTTCAAAATAATATTCCATCTTATTAATATAATCATCAATGGTTTCCGTGTCCCCAATAGTCATTAATTCATCAAAGTAATCTTCACAGAATCCATTGGCAATACGTAGTATATCTGACTTACTTGGATGCTCCATTACCAGTTTTGTGTGTTGTCTTAGCAAGGTATTAGATGAATCAAAGAATTCAAATAAGGAAGATGCATCGCTTTTAATATGTTTACCAATCTCATCATTAATTTTAATCATATCCTTAACTCTTTCAGTACATTTGAGTTCAAATCTTGCTTCTTGTTGTTGAGTGAGTTCTTTTATTTTGGGCATCTCTTGGTTTTCTTCCTTATGATTAAAATTTATACTAATTTCAGGGTTTTCACTTCCAAATTTTTGCTTAATATTATTAGTTTCTTGTTGAGGTATCGTATTACTTTTGTCCCCTGTATGATTTCTTAGGCTTACCCAAGCGGAATCATTCTTTACCTTTTCATAAAATTCAGCAAGTTTTGGATTCTTCTTTGCATTAGTTAGAGAAAGCTGTTCATGGGCAAATTCAGATAGCCCTTTCCATTTTTCCTCAATGCATGACTCTATGTCAAAATGTCCTTTTTTATATTCTTCTGGCGCCATGTCACTATAGTCTAATTTCAACAAGGTAATGTTGCAAAAAAAATTTTATTATTATGTTTCTTTCTCTTTTCATTTGTCGGAAACTGGAATGATAGCAAGGCTGTTGGAATTAGAAATTAAATGTTTCTTTCAGTCCATTAGCCGGTTTCTTTAATGATTCAAATATAAATCTAATGGATTCTAACCTTTAATTAAATAACCTGGAATGAATGTATATTTATTGCTAATGTGTGGAAGCTGTTTGGGTCTAGTACGAACTCTCTTTTATCCACCACCCTCAATCAGCACCGACTTATAGTCTTACTATTATATATTATAATAATTAAAGAAGATCAACTAGTAAGAAAAGAAGTAGAAAACTAATGAGATATGGACGTGCGTTCACCAGAAAAAGAATGGTGAATCAAAATAGTAACTCTATATAGCCACCTAAACCAATGATGGTATAAAGCATTCTTTAACAATCATGTCAATTACCCCTAGTAATCTTTATCCTCCGCATCCAGCTACTGTCAGAGCACAGTCGCTCCACTTATCTTATGATGCAAAAAACGATCGAATTGCGTATCCAAGTGGAAGATCAATTATTGTTAGACCATTAGATCCCAAAAACGGAGTTGCTAAACAATTCACTAAACATATTCATCCAACAACTGTGGCAACCTTTTCACCTTCTGGGAACTACGTAGCTTCTGGGGATGAATCAGGAGCTGTGAAAATTTGGGATGTAACCGTTACCGGTGAAGAAAGTTTTGAACAACCATATATTAAAAGCGAATTTCAAATTCTTTCTGGGCCAATTAAGTCAATTGCCTGGGATGGGGATAGTTCCAGAGTGATTGCTGTTGGTGCTGGTAAGGATAAGTTTGGACACTGTTTTACTTGGGATTCTGGTAATTCTATTGGTGAGATTCAAGGTCATTCTGATACTATTAATGCAGTTGATATAAAACCTCAAAGACCTTATAGAGCTGCCACTGTTAGTGATGATAAGGCTTTGGTTTTTTATAACGGACCTCCTTTCAAATTCGATAAAAGTTTAAGAGGATATCATACAAATACTGTCAGAGCAGTTAAATTTTCTCCGGATGGTAAATTCTTAGTTAGTGTTGGTTCTGATAGAACTATTGTTATATATGATGGTAAAACTGGTGAATTCGTTAAAAAAGTTGAAGGCGCTCATAATGGTGGTATCTTTGGATTGAGTTGGTATAAAGATTCTTCAGCATTTGTTACTGCCTCGGCTGATAACACTTTAAAAGTATGGAATTTAGATTTTGAATCTACAAAAACTTATGTGATTGATTCAAAAGTGTCAGTAGAAAATCAACAGGTTTCAGTTATAGTCGCTAATGATTATATTGTTTCTCTTTCTCTAAATGGTAATTTGAATTATTTCAAAGAAGAAACTAATCCATCATTTGTGATACCTGGCCATCAAAAATCATTAACTGCCATTTATTACGGTGATGGCCTATACACTGGTGGCTCTGATGGTACCATAATGAAATGGAATGTTAAAGATACTATTGACCCTATTCCAGAATCAGTTAGAGCCCATTCTAATTATATTGCAAGTATCACCGAGTTTGGATCTATTGTTTCTGCGGGTTGGGATGATACTTTGAAAACCAATTCTAAATCACTTGGTTTATCTGGGCAACCTAAACAATTGATTAAAAATGATAAAGAATTATTTGTTTTATATGAATCAAAGGTAGAAGTTTACAATTCTTCATTTGAAAAAACTAATGAAATTGATTTACCATTCAGTTCATCCAACTTTGATACTTTTTCCAATAAACTTTTAATTACTAATGAATCAAAAAATACCATCGAGGAGTATACCGCGTTATCCCATTCGAAAACTTATCCGGCCTTACGTTCTCCACCTTCCTTGATCAGAATTTCTCCAGATGGTGAATTGGCAGCTGTTTCAGATACCTCTGGTAAATATACTTTATACAAAACTTCAGATGGATCAGTTGTCACTACCCGTTGGGCATTCCATACTAGTAAAGTTATCGATGCCAAATGGACTAAAGATTCAAAATTTTTGATCAGTGGTGGTTTAGATAGTGGCTTATTTCTTTATTCTGTAGATAAACCTTCGAAAGTTTTGAAATTTCCTTTAGCCCATCAAAATGGGGTGACTGGACTCGAGTGGATTTCCTATGATGGAAAGAATGGTGTTTTTGTCAGTATTGGTCTGGACGGTGTCCTCAAATCTTGGGATGTTGATCTTAGTGTATATTAAACTTTACCATGAAATTAGAATTTTTAGATGTCGTTTTCTCAATATATATCCATTTCTGATAAGTTCAATGAAGCACTTTAACCTCTGTAGATGTATTCAATATCCCTGTTTGACAATGTAACTCATAATTCTTCAAATTATAGATGAAACCAGGCTGCGAAAAAAGTTAAGTACTCAGTTTCAGTATATTTCCTGAATTTTTGTGAAAATACTACAAATATCAAACAAAAAAAAACCAAGCATCAACATCAACTTCTATATATTAAAGCTACATATCTACATGTTATCTTTTCCTTGGCTGCAAGAATTACTTTGGATTACTGCAAAGTAGAATTCAATGTGTTCAACAAAATCATCAATATTGATTATGTTTTATTTAATGTCTATGCGCTAAAGACAACTTTCCATCTCTGTGTTACAGTTAACGGTTCGCATAAGATGATCAAGATAATTTTGTTACTCAACCTGTTACGTAAGAGCAGTTTCTAATACTTCTCAACCTATTCTACATGAAATGAATTGGACTACTTCAGTTGTTCGTATATCGGGCTGAAATCTTTTGTTAAATCTCGGATAATTTTATTCACTTTATTGTTAATAATCATAGCAATAATTGTCTTGGATCGATTGCTACTAACGTATAACATGCCTGGTTACTAATTTTAGTTACTTTTGCAATTGAAGACTTACCAATTTTAGTAGACTTTGTGATATAAAGCTAATTTAACATGATTTTATATCAATTTTTTGTCATTTCAAATGCCGCAACGTTAATTTAGCAGCAATCCAACCAAAAATTGAAATATACCCATATCAAAAGCAGTGTTCAACTGTTACTCTCTATCTCCCCAAATCTCCACAAGTAACCATGGGATTATCCAGGTTTTACGTCAAGTTGGAAAAAATAGAGCAGCCTGAAGCGACATCATCATTTTCGAAATGCGTTTAATGAGCTTTTCTTTTCTTTTTTTGTACAATAGTTTCATTATGTCTTCAAATCGTTTAAGTAAAACATATTCGATACAGTGCTCATTGACTGCCTATCCTAAACTTGAGTAAAAACTTCGGAAGATTCACAAACTCAAAAATAAGAAATTCAAGGTATTTAACGAGATTTTTTTCACAAATAGAACCATTCCATTCTCCCTATTGGTTTGTTTAGCTACATGTATGGCGACAGAACTGGATTCTCCTATAACGGATACCGTCTCCCCACATATGAAATTTATCCGTTTCCGCTATAACTCAATACAAGAATTAATCAACTCTGCCGTAGGTACGGGACTTCTTTGAGGTAAATTTCATGCAGTGTGTCACTCGGAATAATGCACTGCAATGGAACAACGTTTATCCTAAATGTCAAAAAAACAAAAAAAGATCCTAAATTTACAAGTAAATATAAAAGAAAGCAAAAACTAGTTATTTTAAGATAATTAACAATAAAAACGTTGATTTCTTGTCCATTTAGTTAACATTTGTGTATTTCATCTTGAATCTTTGTGAATTTAAGTTCGAAAACTTGTATTGTTGCCCTGTCCATGCTTCAAATTCCACCAAAAATATAAGAAAGACCGATGAGGTGATACAAAAATACTTCCCCGGACTAAATACTTCTCCAGTTAACCGTTGTTGCTTTGAGCTTTTCCAGATGTGTGCCGATTAAACACTACAATGTCTTTTCCAAGAAAAAGGAAAGACTAGGTCAGGAATAAGTTGGCATTGTGCTCCCCATGGGTCCAACAGTTTTACCAAAGTATACAAGTATAAGAGTATAAATATTGGTTGAAAACCATCAAAGTTGGAGCTTAAAAAATGAAAAGACATAAGAACGCAAGTGAAAACATAAGCCCCTCACGATGAGATTATCAGTGCTTCTATTTTCTCTTTTATGCGCAGTTTTGGCCTGTGCTGCTGAAGTTCGTCCACTGCTTCATTTTACTCCAGAGAAAGGGTGGTTAAATGATCCTAATGGATTGTTTTATGATAGAAAAGATGATATCTGGCATATTTACTTTCAAAGTAATCCTAAAAATCCTTTTTGGGAAAAAGAACTTCATTGGGGACATGCTACATCTAAAGATTTAACTAACTGGACTCAACATGAATCTGCAATTAATCCATCTCACCGAGGTGAAGGTATTTTATCCGGGAGTGTTGTTGTGGATCGTAATAATACTTCTGGTTTTTTCAATGATTCAGTCCACCCTGAACATAGAATTGTTGCTCTTTATACAAGAAACCCGGGTCTTATTGAAACACAAGAAGCTGCTTATTCTGTTGATGGTGGTTATACTTTTACCAAATATGAAAAAAATCCAGTTCTTGATGTCAAATCATCCCAATTCAGAGATCCAAAAGTTATGTGGCATGAAGCTTCAAACCAATGGATTATGACTGTTGTTGAAGCTCAAGATTACCAAATTCAAATTTATGGTTCTGATGATTTGAAAAATTGGAATTTCCACTCTAATTTTAGTGCTGGTTATCCCGGTTTCCAATTCGAATGCCCTGGTTTATCTGAAGTCCCAATTGCTGGTACCAATGAAACAAAATGGGTTTTGTTCCTTGCTATCAATCCTGGTGCTCCTTGGGGTGGTTCAGCCAGTCAATATTTTGTTGGTGATTTTGATGGGTATGAATTTAAGGCAATTGATTCATTGACTAGATTTGTTGATATTGGTAAAGATTATTACGCTTTACAAACTTTTAGTAATGTTGAAAAAAAAGATGGTGTTATCGGTATTTCTTGGGCATCAAATTGGCAATATGCAAACAAAGTTCCTGCTTCTAATTGGAGAGGTATGTTAGCTATGGCTCGTAACTTCACTTTGGATTATGTTTCTGTCAACCCACAAAAGAAATTATTAAGTTTAGTAGAATCTCCTATTTTTGAAGCCAATGTTTCTAAAACATCAGAGAAAAAGAATGTCAAGTTACAAAAAGGTGATTCAATTGAATTTGAAACAAAATCAGGTGTATTTGAGTTTGAGTTGGATTTCCAAACCATGAAAAATATCACTTATCCAGAACAACCTAATTTAGACTTGTATATTACTTCTTCTAATGGTAAAGAATCCATCCGTTTTGGGTTTGAAGCTGATGTCGGTGCATTTTACTTTGATAGACCAACAAACGTTTTCCAAAACCCTTATTATTCAAATGTTGTTACTGCTAATATTCAGCCTACTAAAAAATACGAATATAACATCTACGGTGTGGTTGACCAAAATGTTATCGAATTGTTCTTCATGAATGGTACTACTTCTAGTACTAATATCTTCTATTTCAGTGATGGAAAGCCTTCTAAGGTTGAACTTAAATCCAATTACAATGACTTATTTAAAATCCAAAAATTCTCTCTTAGAGATTTATCTGTTTAAATAGCCTTTTAATATAGCAAATTCTGCTCATGTTTCTAGAATGTATCACTTACTTGTACTTGTAACCAAAGCCACCGAGAAATATCAGTTTGAATACAATCACTCCCTTCAATCGTATTGATTGATAACAATGGCTATGTTTTTTCAATAGTGAAAACTTTTTGCAGCCATATCGGTCCTGAATTGCGTTCGCACGAGCCTCATCAAATTAAAAGTTCTCAATAGATCAAGACAAACCAAATTGCGAATCAGGGCCACTGTTAAGGATAGCATGCATTTTTATTGAAGTAGTATATCGCGTACAAGGAACTAAGTCTTATCTTAGCCATTAAGTGATTTTCTGCTTCGGATAGTAAGAAACGGTCTCGTCTTAATCTCCCCGATACGTTTCCATACGTTTTGGAACATGCACCCCAAAAAATTTTGGACTCTTGTATGTTAGCATTTGAACAGGATCCTTTCAACACAGTTTACATTTTATCATGCAGTCTTTAATGCAGCTCTCAGCAATTAAAGTGAATATCCATTAATCTATATAAATCCATGTCGATTGATATACAATACTGTAAGGTCACCAAAGGTTTGAGTGAAAAAGGATAATAAAAGGTGTTTTGTCCAGGAGTTCTCATAAACTTTCATAATTCACTAATAATCGAGAGTTGAATAAAGACTCACTTTGCGAGGAGAGAATAACCAGAAACCTCCTTTAATTTTTTTCATTCAGAAAAGAAAGCTCATCAGTTGTTTATCTTAAGCAAAAGAAGATAATATCCTACCTTACGAAGAGTACCCTGACGACTTGAACGAAACTTGGATGAACCACAGAGTGCCTAATGGGATATCAACATGGCTAACTTTAACTTCAATCCATCAACTACCAATATCAACCTAAGGCTGGGTTTCTTTAATAAAATTCTGCTACGAGCAGTCTATCGTATTTGCGAGAATCTTTTTCTTAAAGGAAATTACCAAACGCTGGCATCGGCAATGAATATACTACTCTTGGTGGTCTTATTCACTCAAATTAATCTCACATCCTTTTTCCGTGTTAATAACCTCTTTCAAATTTGTATTTTTCTGTCTTTTTGCATATTTAAGACTCGTTGAGTACAAATCTCACCGATTTGGTATAAAATTGCACCCAAATCTCAACCAATTCGCCAAATGCTGTTTTTACACTTTAAAATGTATAACACTTCATCATCTATGTAATGAATTGCATGTTTACTTATTACAATTGTATTTGCAATCGTATTTATTTTAATACTGCTATTATTCATGTTAGCAATGTTCTCATATCAAATAATGTTTCAACTCCTCAACATTTCAAGAACCACAATCATCAAAGCAACAATAGAGAGTTCTTGCGATGGAGGTTTTTTGGAGGTTTTTTTGAAGAACACCAGCAATGGATTGATGGTAATGGCCATGGTACCCATTGTGCTGGCATTATTGGATCCAAAACTTATGGTGTTGCTAAAAAAGTGGAATTAGTTGCTGTTGCAGTGATGTATGCTTTGGGTTCTGGTTTAACCTCAGATATTATCAAGGGTATTGAATTTGTAGTTAATAAAGATAAAGAGAAAGTTAAAACTAAAAGAAAGGAAGGTTCTACCGTAAATTTGTCTATGCGTGGTGGTGCCACTGATGCTTTGGATCTGGCTACTAACGCTAGTTCTGACGCTGGGTTACATATCGCTGTTGCTGCTGGTAATGATGATTTCGTTGCTTGCGAATACTCTCCAGCCAGAGCTATGGTCCAATCACTATTGGTGCTTCTAATAATGCCGATAACAGGGCTTATTTCTCTAACTGGGGCCGTTGTATCGATATCTTTGCTCCTGGTGTTGATACTTATCTACTTATGTTCGGTCTGATACCGCCCAATTATCTAGTACCTCGATGGCTTCTCCTTATGTTGCCGGCTTATTATCTTACTATTTATCTTTGTACCCAGATATCAATTCAAAATACGCTACCGGCGAAAATGGTTTATTGGATCCTCAAACTCTGAAATCTTAAGATATCAAATATGCTACTGAAGGTGTTATTCAAGGTATCACTGATGGTGATTCTCCCAACCTTCTTGCCTTTAAAGGTGCTCGTGGTAACTTGACTGATTTTCGGTCTTTGTAAGCAAGTCATTATGCCATGACTTAAGAGTTTCTAGGTTAAAGACAATAAAGAACAACTATAAGATTGTCTAGATATTGACAATGGTTATAATCAGACCATCATGCCATGAAGTGAAAGCATGCCTACAGTTATTGCCGAGTCTTGAAATTAATTTTTATTTTGAGAACAAACTGTAAAATAAGAGGATTAAACTGTATTTAAATATGGTGCTATTGTGCATCCTATTACGATCAGTGCTTTTATTCATAGAACCATAGAATATATAAGTTAAGGAAATTCCTATGTTTCTAATAGACATACAATAATACATATACTTTATTCAAAGTTATTGCCTACAGTTTCTTCTAAATTTTAGAACAATATTAGTTAAATTTTAATAAGTTTCAAGCTAATAAGATCTGCTATATTATATTATCATCAAAGTCAAGTCTCTCATAAAATTTTTCCTACAGTTTCGAAACAGGGAATTCTTCTCGAACCAATACGGAGGTTTATATTTTATTATTCATTGATTAACTTAACTAATTACCAAAGGATAGTGTCCAAGTGTTTTTGTGCGATTTAGTTGGTTAAGCTTATTATATTTACGTTATAATACTAGATTATTAATCAATTATTCAAACAAGAAGCGACCTAGTACTCTTAGTGAAATGTTTAATATTATTTTAATAACTTTGTTAATATTAAAAGGGGTGATGGGTAGCTTCAATTGGGTTTCAGATTTTGAGTCGTTACAAGAAGACATAGGGAATAATTTCACTGACTTGATTAACGGTGATGTTATCACTGTAGGAAGACAGCTCCTTAATAATGAGCTGATTTATTTTCAAGTAGCAGTGGATGGGACTAGTCAACTAGATAATTATTTAGCTATAAAGGCCGCTCATAGTGCAACCATTAAACATTTACATGGTGTTGGTTATGTTGATAGTTTATTCTTTAAAGGTAACGGTCAATATGTAGGAGACAACGCAACTAGAAGTAAAGCTAAACGAGAGGATACACCCGACCCTGAAAGTTTCACTAAGAAATCTTTACATGTCGTAGTGAAATATGGACAGCATCAGGTAGGATCTGCTATCACGCAATTTATTTCTGATTTGGTGTCTACTCCTATCGAAAAATGGATTGGAGAGCTTGTGCTGGGGGTTGGTGCAAATTCTGAATGTGGTTCTGCTGGTATGTTAATACCAATGGGTAAATCATGGCAAAATGCCAAAGCATACGTTGCAATAGAAACATGCAGAACAGGTGGTAAATCTTGTAAAACAACTGCACTGGAAGACTTAATAAGAGCTGGTGCTTATTGGGCTAATAACGCAATAGATTCTCATCCAAAAAGAGATACATATAAAGTTGGATTCAGTCATAGTGGCTATTGGCATATGTGCATTCGATATGCAGTTAAAGACTACTATAAAGATTATGAATCGTGCAAATCGGCAGCAAAAGAAATGGGTTGTCCTAAAGGATACTGTGATAATGGCCAGTTCGACAAATTTGATCATGATGAATTGTAATAACTTAGAGTAACAATTAATCTAAATACTAGATGTACGGAGGTTTTTGCCCTAACTAAATACTAGATGTACGGAGGTTTT